CCACCCTGCTCTCTCTCGTCCTCTCTCCCTAATAAATCTCTTTCATGATGTCTGTTGTGTGGTGTGACATTTTCAGCACTCCTTGGCCCCATCTCCAAGGCACTCTATAGGACTGCTCCTAAGGGAGAAAACAGATGGGGAGGAGTCCAGGCTGAACATGGTGGGCAGACTAAACCGGACCATGAGACAAGAAAGAGGGAGAATAAGAGAGGAACAGATGACCAAAAGAGGCAGCTGGGGCCAAGAGACCAAGAAACCAGAGTAGCTAAAAATGGCTCAGTTACATAAGTGTCAGGCTAGCGGAAGGGCTGCAGAAGCCCAGTCCCTGGGAGGGAAGGGTTTTGGGTAAAGGGGCAGGGTGAGAAGAGCTGGGCGGAGCCACAAGTACTGAGGAGCTAGCCAGTGAGCGGCTTCAGAACCTTAGTAGGTGAAAGGACTCAGGCATTACGCTGGCCTGCCCCTGTTACCTGGCAGAATGCACTCAGGCAGTACTCTGGTCAGCCCAGGGTTCCTCGAGAGCTAGTCTGCAGGCAGGTGCAAAGGACCCTTTGAAAAGACAGACCCTGCCCACTTATGCCCTCTTGCTCTTTGCTCTCTCTTCTCTCTCTCTCCCACTTTCTCTCTCTCTTCTCCCCCTCCTGCACTTTTTTTTTTTTTTTTTTTTTTTGGTTTTTACGAGACAGGGTTTCTCTGTATTGGTCCGGAGGCTATCGGTCCAGCCCGGCCTCGAACTCACAGAGATCCTCCTGCCTCTGCCTCCCGAGTGCTGGAATTAAAGGCGTGCGCCACCACCGCCCGGCTCCTCCCACACTTTAATAAACGCTATGGTTAATGTATCTCTCATTCGTATCTGGACCACAGTAAACTTAAACAAAAGAACAGTAAACACTTCAGTTAGCCATTTTTCCAGTCTTTCAGAGCCCTTATAGATCGGTTATAGTGGTCCTTAATGTTTTTAAATGATAATAATAATATATTAAGTATGAATATAATAAAATGATAAAATAAATTTTATGTTTAAGGGTGTTTTGCCTGCATGTATGTCTGCGCACCATGGAGGCCAGAAGAGGAAGACAGATCCCCTGGCACTGGGATTACAGTCATTTGTGAGAGCCTCCAAGAGGATTCTGGGAAGCGAACCAGGGTCCTCTGGAAGAGCAGCCCGTGCTCTTAACTACTCTAGCCCTAGAGGGTGAGTTTTTGAATATGCCAGCTAAACAGAGTCATGTCTGACAGAGCATCCTGCAGGAGGCAGAGAATTTCAGAACTAGGATGGTGAGCATTAAATAAAAGGCAAGAGAGGCCAGGTGGTGGAGGCTCACACCTTGAATCCCAGCACTTGGGGGGCAGAGGCAGGTGGATCTCTCTGTGAGTTTGAGACCTGCCTGGTCTACAAGAGCTAGTTCGAGGACAGGCTCCAAAGCCACAGAGAAACCTTGACTTGAAAAAAAAAACAAAAACCAACCCAACCTCTCCCACCCCAAAAAAAGGCAAGAAGGGGTCAGGGAGATAAATCATCGAGGCTCATAGGCCCCGTGGAGGCCTTCCATGAAGCTCTGTAAGGATTGAAAATGCTAGGCGTGGCGGCTCGTATTTGTAATCCCAGCACTCCAGAGGTGGAGGCCAAAGAACAGTGAGTTTAGGACCAGCCTGGTCTACTTAGTGAGTACCACGCTGGCCAGGGAAAGCCAAGTCCTGTCTCACAAAACAGGGGTACTAGGTGGGTGGAGTGGGTGAGCCGCCCAGGGTTCAGCAGGAACTGGGGGAGCATGCACAGAACTGTCTGTAGGTGGGGGCAAGCACCTTCTGGGGACAGCCAGCCAGCCCATGTCAGGAAAAAGCATGAGGGGGACCTCGGCGGATTCCATGGCAGGCGGGGGGGGGCAAGGAGGAGGGACAAACATACCAGGCAGAAGAGAAGAGGGAGACAGGAAGGAAAAGTCCTGTCTGCCCCAAGGGGGAAGAGCCAGATAGAAAGTAGGCAAGAGAGGAGGAGCGGGAAAGAGTGTGTAGTACGCGGGCAGAGATTTTTTTCTTTTAAAGGGGTCCTTTGCACCTGGGCTGACCAGGGTACTGCCTGAGTGCATTCTGCTAGGTGGCAGGAGCAGACCCGCACAGCGCCCGGATCCTTACAGCCCAGTCTCATGTTACTGAAGTAGCATTTTGAATGGAAAGAAAAAAAATAAAAATAAAAAGGGAATGACTGCTCGCAGGTATGTTGGAAGGGAAAGTTTACTGTAGATAAAAGGGAAAGCAACAGCCAGAGACAACAGAGACACCCAGAAGAGTCCTGAGTGGACACGACCCTGAGCCATGTGAGGAGAGGGCTAAGGGGAGGGAGAGGGGACAAAGGCAAAGCAAGCTGTAGCAGCCAAGAGGGCAAAGGGTATTTAAAAAGGGGGGGGGCAGGGGCGGTAACCAAAATGGCTGGATTCAATAGAGAAGAGCCTCTGGGAGAAGGACAGCCTAGCCCCTGGGCTGGAGAATTCCTGGTAGCGGGGGAGGGTGTGCCAGCCACACCCTGTAACAGGTAGAAACTGAGGGATGTTGGACCCCAGTCCCACGGGGTCTCTGTGAGTTGCTGGTCAGCCTACAAGTGCAACCTGTTTTCCAGTCCAAGTGCTTCCTGTTTTCTAGTCCTGGCTTACTGCCCGGGCCTTGACCCTCTGGCATCAACATCTAGCAAAACATGCTCTCTTCTACCTGGGGTTTTTCCACTGTGCTGTAAACCTGTATATAAAGCTCCTCCCTCCTACCGAAAAGAGACCTCTTAGCACTTGCATTGAAGACACACACACACACACTCTCTCCTGGCAACAAATGCATTCTCCTAGTACAAACAAGTGGATGTCTGGTCTTTCTTTTCCTGATACCTTGGAGTTGCTTGTGGCGCAGGCACCGCAAGGGATGCTGGGAGAACCTGGCAGCCAGGTCTGCTCTGATATGTTTCAATAAACCTCAGTCATTTGTGCCAGGGGTTGATCTTAACACATTTCAAACATCATTTCTTTAAGTGTTCAGGCGGATCGGATGAGACAGGTATTCTGGCACTCGGGAGTCACAGAATACTGAGTGTGACACAGCTCAGGTGGGAAGGTATCCTGGAGCTCGGGAGCCAAGGAATGGCACAGGTTGCAGTAAGCATAGCAGCTCACAGCCTTGCTTCAGGGAAAGGCTTCTCTAGTGTATCAGCTCTGCTCCGGGAGGAGAGGGTTTCCCAGCTGGGGATATTTTCCCTGTGTAGCAGTTTTGCTCCAGCAGGAGAGGGTTTCTCAGGTGAAGTTGCTACAGTTCAACTCTGCTCCTGGGAGAGTGGAGAGCAGAGTCTTCCAGGAGAAGATTTCCCTGGCAAAAGACCCCTGCTCGCTCTGCTCTGCCCAGGGTTGTCTCTGCTCTGCCACAAAAGAAGGTCTCACCCAAACCTCGTTCATGAGATTTATTGGGAAGGAAGAATCCCGGAGAGTAGCTGCTTCAGCCAGAGAGGCAGAGGACAGAGGGTCAGCACCAACAGACACAAGCTTAACAGACACAGGGTTTATATAGGGCTTCTTAGGGGTGGAGTTTTCCATAATAGGGATTGGTCAGATTTCAATCCGGAGTTTGATGGCTAGAACTCCTGCTCAGAGATTGGTTAGTTTTCTGCACAGGGTTAGGGTCAGGTTTGGCTCTGGTTTCAGGGCCAAAGTGTGTTTCTTTCTCTGGCTCTTTTTAGGCTTTTGACTCTATTTTTAGGGCCAGGGTGCATTTCTTTCACTGACTCTGATTCCAGGGACAAAGCATGTTCTTTTGGCACTGGTTTCAGGGTCAGGGTACATTTCTTTAGTTCTGTTTGCAGGGCCAAAGTGTGTTTCTTTAGCTCTGCTCAGGGTGCGTTTCTTTGACTGATCCCTTTTCACTACACCAGGGGTGCATGCCTTCAATCCCAGAGGCAGGCGGATCTCTAAATTCGAGACCAGCCTGGTCTACAGAACCAGTTGCATGACAAGCCAGAGCTACACAGTAAGACCCTGTCTCAAAAAAACCCCGAACAAACCAAAACCCCACCAACTAAAAGAACAAGTAGCAAGTGATTTTAGGATGTTCAGAGCACAAGCAGCCAGAGCTGCACCCCACCCCCTCCACGGGCTCACAGGAAACCCCGAGCCTTCTTTCCCAATATCCTGCCCACGGGGGGGGGGGAGGGGTGGAGTGATAGGGCTTAGGGCTCGGAGCCCATTTGCTGCTGAGACCCGGTCTTTAGAAGCAGCAAGAACGGGGAACACGAAGAGCCTTAGCCACATCTCGGGGCTGGTCGCCCATTTCCTGCGCAGCGGAAAGCTCTGTGTTGGTTGGGCCTGCAGTCTGGTGGGCGCGGCCGTGGAGCTGCAGGCTCGCCAAGCTCCTGCGGGGGGCCTAAGAACCGGATTTTGCCGGCTCTGTAGTTTTTTTTTTTTTTCCTCTTCTTTAGACAAATTCTCACTCGGTAGCCCAGGCTGGTTTTGAACTCTTCTGCCTCCGTTTCCCCTACTGCTGGGGTTTTTCAATGTTTTGCATTTATTTTAGCGTAGGGGCAGGGTTGCACGTATTACAGTGAACACAAGTTTTAGTCGGAGGACAACTTGAACGAGCTTGGTGTCACGTCCCATCATGCGGGGGTTACGCGATTCGAACTCCAGTCATCTGGCTCGGTGGCAAGCGCCCTTGTGTGTGTGTGTGTGTGTCTAAACATCCTAGCTAGGAGCTTTACAAATGGCAATTTTTGTAAATGGATCCTGGAAATACTAGATAGAGTGATGTCTGGTCTTGTCCTGGGCAGACCAAGAGGAGGAAACCCCATCTAAAACCCAGCCCCTGCAGACACCGCCGACCACCCTTAGGCCGAGGGACTCAGAAACAGGGTTTCGAAATCTGGGGAGCTCCGGCACCCTAATCCACACTAGGCCTTGCGCGACCTAAGCGGCTGGGCGACTACCGTGACGCACCGGCCACTTCCGATTTCACTTTCCTTTTCTCGGGCCCGGCCGCTTCACCTCCGCGGCGGCGGCCTGGGGATTTGCCCGGTGATCAGTGACGTCAGGCAGGCTGAAGTTCCCATTGGAGGGCGGAGTTCGGCGAGGGCCAATCCCAGGGCCGGCCACGGAGAAATCTCGGCGGAGGGCACGGCGCGCCGGGAGACTGCTGGGCGGGGAGGCTGCGCTGCCAGCTGCTCGCTGAGGCGCTACGCCCGGAGCAGCTTGCCGAAGAGGAGTGACCGGGCCCGGAGCGTGGCGCGGGTGAGTACGGCCTGCGCTGGTGGGACACGGCGGCTTCGCCGCGCGGCCCGGGTGGGGACGGCGAAGGCGGCCGCGGGCCCAAGGCGGAGCTGCTGGACAGGCCCCGGCGCGAGGGGTGGCGAGCTCGGGTGCCCGCCGCGTCCCCGGCTCGCTTCTGGGCCTGTCGCCCTGAGCTCGCTGTGCAGCTCGTGGTTCTACTGGTCCAGCCCAGACTTACTTCAGTCTCTTCCAGTCCCCAGATTCAGGAGTGAGCGGGACCCGGATGACGGTCTACCTGGTGGCTTGAAGCCCTGCATGACCAAAGGCAGATCTCCACCTATTTATTTTATTATTTATGTATTTATTTTCAATCTGTCTGTCTATCTATCTATCTCATCTATCATCTATCTATGATTTACTGTGTCAGAGTTAAACTAGCTTAGCCGCTTGTACCTGGAATTGTATATTATCCCTAATGATTTACTAACTAATTAGCTTTAGGAAAAGAAAAAAGTGTGAAAGCAGAATGGTTTAATCCAGCACTGGTGAGGCAGAGGCAGGAGGATCTCAGAGTTCAAGGCCAGCCTGGTCTACTGGTCTACAAAGTGAGTTCCAGGATAGCCAGGGCTACACAGAGAAACCCTGTCTCGAGACCCCCCCCAAAAAAAAGGAAAGGAAAAGAAATAGGATAAAAGTATATGAGTGTAACTTTGTGGAGTGAATGGGAGGAGACACTTAAAAATTTCTAGTACATTCCAGATTTTGATAATGCAACTATTTGTGTGTGCCTCAGAAAAGGGGAGAATAACATGTGTTCATGCATGCCTGAACCTCTTGTTTGTTAGATGAAATCATGATCCCTAGAGTATTCCTCCCAAGTTAAAAAAAAAAAGAAAACCCCTCCTAAAAGCAAAGTTTCATTAATGTTTTTAAAATTGCAACTACTTTATTATTATTATCACTATTGTTATTATTATTTTATTATTATTATTATTATTGAGGCAGGGTGTTGCCATATATCCAAAGATGGTCTGAAAGTGGCCATGGACGCCCATGTTAGCCTTCTTCCTCTTGAGCGTTTGGATTAAAGGTTATAGGCATCCGCTCTGATGCCTGGTTACCATTTTTAATACACTTTAATTTTTAGAACAGTTGTCTATTCACAGAAACTTCGAGGAAACAATTTGTAGAGTTCCTATGTAACCTCAAACTGACTCCTCTTTCATTAACATCTTACGCATGGTTATCCGCCAGAGTCCACATATATTTATTTTCATCTTCTTTTTTCAAAAATACTTATCCTTCCGTGTTCTCCTCCGGGTTACTGCATTGCGTTTGGTTGGCTGTGAGAGTTTTTAGACTTTGTGTGAACTTTCAAAGTGTTGATAGATACCTTGTAATGGATATCTCAGATAATGAACCCACAAAGAGAAGGGGTTTATTTTGGCTGACAGCTTTGGAGGTTCTAATCCACGATCCAGTGGTGCCTATTGGTCTGGGCCTGGTCTTGAATTGAGCTAATATTCATACCCCTGCCTCCTGAGGACTGAGAATACAATCATGGGATACCATGCCTGCTCATCATACATACAGAGAGAGACAGAGACCAGAGCCCCACAGTCCTCTTCTGTGATTCTCTCTCAGTGCCCTAGATTTTCCAGTAATGCCAGTGGTGCAAGAAACAAGCCTTTCTCACAGGAACCTTTGAGGCATACTACGATGTAAACTGTATGTGTGTTTGTGTGGTACTCTCCTATTTTATGTCTTATTCTTAAGATTGGGTTTATGTGTTGAAAGGATGGAATTAGGTTGCCGTATCCACAACACGTTAGCAAGGATTTCATGCTGTCAAGGTTTACGATGACACTGACCTGTTCACCCGACTGAGGGTGTGTTGGCTCCCTGCAATGTTAAATTCTGCGCTATGTTTTCCTTCCTTTGCATGTAGTATCATTTGGCAGGAAGCCACTCTGCTCCTCTGAGGAATTTGAGGGTTATGGGTTTTAAATTATTCAGGATGGGAAATGTGTCCCCTTTGTTAATATAGTCACCCGTTTAATTATATCAATATGGACTTGTAGGTGTTAATTTTAGACATTGGATTATAGTCCAGTAGCAGTTTGTTTTGTGGCTCAAATTGGTGCAGCTTTGACTATTGGAAACTGTGTCCTTCCTATTATGATGGTACTTTTTGGGGCATTCAGACCTTTTTTTTATGTCACCTTTTAAACTTGAAACAAGTTGATAAACTTGACCAAACAATTTCGGTTGCTGTAGTTTTTTTCTTGCCAGGCTCTGCAGCCAGCCACCTCAGCCCCAAATAAGCACACAGATTCTATATTAATGCTAAAACTGTTGGCTGATGGCTAGGGTTTATTGGCTAGCTCTGTCTTAATTTTATTAACCCATTTCTATAAATCTATGTATTTCCACGTGGTCTTGGCTTACCAGGTGTATCCTGTCTTCCTGGTCTCTATGTGTCGCCTCCTTTCAAGCCCTCACTGCCTACCTTTCCAAGAATTCTCCTGGTCTCCTAGTCCCGCCTATCTTCCTGCCTCTGTTGGCCAAACAGTGTTTTATTCATCAACCAATGAGAGAAACATATATACAGAAGGACATCCCCCATCAAATTTCCTCTCATCAAAAGATAAGGAAAGCTGGGGCTGGAGAGTTGGCTCCATGGATAACTGGACTTGTTGCTCTTTCAGAGGACCTAGATTCAGTTTTCAGCATTCACGTGGCTCATGGTCATCTAACACCCTCCTCTGAACCCTGCAGGCACTGCACACACGTGGTGCACGTACACACAGGCAGACAAAACACTTGTACACACAAAACCAGTCTTAAGAACTTAAAAAGAAAGCCAGGTGTTGGTGGCACACGCCTTTAATCCCAGCACTCAGGAGGCAGAGGCAGGTGGATCTCTGTGAGTTAGAGACCACCCTGGACTACCAAGTGAGTTCCAGGACAGCCTTCAAAGCCACAGAGAAACCCTGTCTCGAAAAACCAAAAAAAAAAAAAAGAACTTAAAAAGAAGGGGTAAGGAATGGTGATACCTGTAAGGCAGAGGTAGGCTGATGATCTCCATAGTGAATGGCAGGCCAGCCAAAGGTGCCTGATGAGACCCTGTCTCAGAAAAAGAGTTAAGGAAACTGCAGAGCAAGGGTAGTGGATGACTTGTTACTTTCTACAAGAGAATAGCAAGTGGGACTGAGACTGGGTCTCCTACTGCAGAGCTCTGCAAACCTCAGGTGGAAGGAGCCTTTTGAGTTCAGGCTTCAGGAGGTTGGCATCGGACTTACACTCCCAGGAGCACAAAAGGAAATACATGGGAAGGAGTTGTTCGTAGAAAGCAAAGGATTAGTTTAAGATTAGCATTTAGGGTGAAGTAGACTTTTGGCCTAGATTGATGGAAATGGAATTTCGGAATGCTGACCTTCCCCAAGAGGAGACAGTCTGGGTGACTGTGGCGGAAGATGGCTAATTCTCAAGATTCTGCTGCTGAAGCAGGCTTGTGAAGTGGGAATCTGATAGTTGCGTGGAAATCGGGAGCACAGTAGGGCTCAGAATCTGGGAATGGCATCTTAACAGACGTGACTCCATGATTAGGACCGGCTACTGGAGCTAAAAAAGGTCGTTGAAGTATCGCTCTTATTTTCACATTCTGATTGGATGAGAATACCCACCCCCCGCCCCCACACACAAAAGAAAATCAATCATAAAGCAGTGTGATAGTGTTATCATAGCAGTACAGAATTAACTTGGAAGGAGCAGAGATAGGGACGGTTTTATTCAAGGCTGAGCTGGGCCAGAGAGAACAGAGTGTTCAAAGGCAGGGAAAGAGTATGGGCTGTGAAGGGGCTCTCGCTGTCTTCTTACTATGGAAAGCTAGGCAAGGTGAAAGGATTGGGGGCTGAATGTGTGAATTTGGACCAGATTCCCCCCTCTCCCCAGAGGAGTTTATTTAGTATGTGTATGGGCACATGTACCATCGTGTGTGTGTGTGTGTGTGTGTGGTGTGTGTGTGTGTGTGTGTGTGTGTGTGTGTGTGTGTGTGTGTCAAGGATAGAGAACAACTTGTAAGAGTCAGGTGGTAGGTGCCCTTACCCACTGAGCCATCTCTTGAAGTGGGTTGATCCACTTCTGGTCTGGGCCTTTAAGGTAGGAAGACACGGGCCTTTGATCTGGATCTTGAGGCGGGAAGACACTGGCCTGTAATTTGGATCTTGGGAAAGGAAGACACACTGCTTTAATTCAAATCTTGAATCTGGAAGACCTACCCTTACTATGGGGCGTGCCTTCTGCTGGAAGTCTGTGTAAGGGCATAGAAGAAGGATGCTTTTGCTCTTTGCCTGCTTACCCTTGTCTTGCTGGCACATTCTTTCACTGGCATTGGTGCCTACTTCTCCAGGATTCCACCATATACAGAAGACTAGCTGAGACGCCGGCCTTGTGAGATTTGGCAACTTCTAGGTTCTTGGACTTTACATTCACAGCTAGCCATTGTTGGATTAGCTAGACTGAAGCCTGATTCCAGTAAACCCCCTTTTTATATATGGGAAGGTTCATTCCATAAGTTCTGTGATTCCAGAGAACCCTAATACACCACCCCTCATAAAATGTGTTGCTTCCGTGGCTTTACATATCCTTAGTTTATGTCCCACATGGAAGAATATTTTGCCAGTTAACTGATGTGTGACACTGATCACATACCAGAGATGCTAAGATATAATTTATAGGTGTCTCAACTTCGATGAAAAATAGTAACTCCCTGTTAGCTTGCTTAGATGTTCTGCGCAACCCCGACCCCCATATGAATAGTCTGAACTTCTTAGCCATGGGTGGATTTTGAGTCTACTGGCTCTATGTGTGACTTTATTTTGGGGACAGGGCCTCATTAGATCCCTGGCTGGCCTAGACCAACCTGGCCTGGAATTCAGAGATCCACCTGCCTCTGCCCCCCCCCCCATCCTGGGGTTAAAATTGTGTGCCAGCGTGCCATTCCTTCTGTTTGTGATCCCCTCACCCCAAGGTCCCCCTCCCCATTCACAATACAGACTAGGTACAGTAGCCTGGACTGAAGTGTACATGGGGTCGGTTTACTCTGCCTCTTCTCTCTGTAGAGGCAGACTATGAAAGCAACCTGTCCTTAAGGACGAAGAAGCCACCATTTGTAATTTCAGAAACACTGGTTTAGCTGGGTGTGGTGGCACCCACTTGGAATCCCCCCACTTGAGAGGCAAAGAAAGGAAAATCAGGGGTGTAATATCAGCCTTGATTACATGGCAAGTTTGAGGCTAGAATGGGACAGAATTTATTCTACAACAATAACTACACACACACACACACACACACACACACACACACACACACAACTACATTGATGAACTGGCCCTTTCCTGCCTGATAACCAATTTGTGAAAAATAAGTGCACTCTCCTCCCCAGATTTCAGCTCCAGTGATTTCAGCCATGTTTATTCTGCTCCGGTTGCTGCTAGTAATAGAGCTTTATGCTGCACACTATATATGCTGGTATACCTGCCGAACCTTACTTTCAGTTTGTTTTGGGACTGGCTCTGGAATCCGCACCTTTATTTCTTCACAATGGTGTGGAAGCCCAGGAAAGTCAAGATTGTAGCCTTATACTTCACAAGGCTGGGTGAAACCCCAGGTGGCTAACTAGGACTCTCTGGTACAGGCCTTGAGTGACTGCAGAGGATGGTAGAAAGTGAGGCTGGGTTCCCCTGCTCAGAGTTCTAGGAGCCACAAGGAGGAGCCGTGATGTCCCAGAGCAGGCTGGAGGTCTGCTGTGTTCTAGATGTTGTGTTCACCTGTCTCAGGCAGTTGACTGGTATTCTTTTCATAAATCGTAACTAACTTCCTCTTGGTATCGGTCAGGTTCCCCACCCATTCAAAGCAAAACAAAACAGATGACGGGCAAGTCCAAGCTGGAAGGGCAGAAAGAGGGTCTATTGACTCATGGGACTGAGAGGTTTAAGGGTGGGGCTAGCTTTGGGCACAGGATTTGAAAAAGTGCTGTCAAGCTGTGCTTTTTTCCCCTTCATCTCCCTAGATTGGCTTACTTCTCAAGCAGATTCGCAGTCTGCACAGCAGGGTGGTCGCTTTAGGGGCTGCAAACCAAGTGACTTTACCTCTTGCAAGTTCCTAAGAAACCACAAGAGTTTTTCCCCTTTCCCATCTAAGTCTCCTTGTGATTTGTGTTTTTCCTTGAACCAAAGGATGTGGGTTGTTACTATACCTAAGACTGATGTTTTCTATTCATCCTAGAACTGAGGGGAGCTCCACCCTACGCATGGCTCCCCAGAAATGAACTGGGGAGAAAGTTACCACAGGGGGAAAAAAAGAACGGGAGGTCATGGGCTGCTTCCATCACCAGAGGGTAAACTTTAAACATCGGTTGCTGGTGGACCAAAAAGCACAATATCCCTCCCTTTCCCCCCACCCCACTTTTAAGCTCCTTGCTCTGTAACTGTTTCTGTTTGTTTTCCTCTTTTCATGCTACGCACACATGATGAGATTCTGTTTCCCATCCACCAGCTTAGCTAAGTTTGTAAAGCTGGTGATGCCAGGTGTTGGTGAGTCTGTGGAGCTGGTTGGTGGGAACGTACGTATATCACCACAGTTGCTTTGGAAACAACTTGGACCTTTCTAGTAAAATGTCCCATGTGCCTGTGTGTGTGTGTGTGTGTGTGTGTGTGTCTGTCTGTCTGTCTGTCTGTCTGTGTGTCTGTGTGTGTGTCTGTGTCTGTGTAAGCATGGCAGCACGTGGGGTCGTTTGTGGTGTTTGTAATGGTCCAGACTGTAAATCACCCAGGTGGCCATCAGAAATGTAAAGGACTGTAGTCAAAGAGCAGCAGTGACAATGAGCAGAGTCAGCACAGTCACAGGAGTGAACCAGCCTCACTGCCATGTTAGTATAAGCAGAGTGGACGATCTCGAATTGGGATTCCATTGTCTGAATGGAAAACCAGGGCATTGCAAGGGGGTAGGGGGTAGAGGCTGGAGGGGAGCCACATGTTGTTTACAGATGCATGGCTAGGTCTAAAACTAAAGAAAAGAAAGAGAGCGATTACCACCATTATAGCTAGTTAATTCCTCCACAACCATTTTCTTAGCTAGTTCCTGAACCCTCCGGCTGGAACCTCGTCCACTGCGAGTTGATGATAGAGACATATGACCTGTTATGGTCAGGAGTTGCCAGAGGGGTTGGTGTTCGGCAGAGAACTCCAGCAGGGAAAAGAGTCAAAGTGGAAAAGGATGGGAGTGAGGCAGGGAAGCTTCCTGGACTCAAAGGCACGAAGGGGGTTTGGTTTCACTCTTGATTGAGGTAAAGCGGCTTGGGACACACAAGCAGGCCTGGGTTAACTGGAGGCTCTCGGAGTTTAAAAAAAAAAAAAAAAGGAAGGGAAAGAGTTTTGACTGTCTCCCTGGAGTGCCAGAAAGCCATTTGGGGGGTTTCAACCAGTGAGCACATTGGCACTTTATACTAAGTTGGGTATGTTTGAGGGGCAAAAAGGAAGATGGCCGTGGTGACTGGAGCAGTGCCAGCCTAGGTGAGAGGCTTAAGAGAAGCCCTTCTGGACTTACATTACAGTCCCTGGTGTTGAATCGGATCACTGCGGTCATTAGGGAGGTGTTAGATGGAAAGGAGTGTCTCTTCTGTTCCTCGGTGCCTGATGCAGTGGACACTCAGTAAACCATGCGTAAACCCTCGGTGGTTTCTCGAGAGTGCTAGGATGAAATTGAGAATTCTTTATCTGGTGGAGCTGGCCTGAGAGAACTCTTAGTACAAGGCCAGGGGAGGAGAGTAGGAGTGCAGGGAGTCGTTGTTTTTTGTTACTGTTTTGAGACAGGGTCTTGCTGTGTAAGCCATGTTAGTTAACCTTGAATGTGTGCAGTCCTTAAAGCCTCTCAAGTCTGGGACTTTGACAGGTGTGCGCCACGACACTCAGCCAGTGTGTGCCATCCTAGTCACACTTCTGTTCGTCATGCTCAGCTCACCGTCCCACCACCCCTTTCCCTCTGGGCGACCTGATTCTCCAGTCTTCCAGCCTGTCTCTCCACCTGACTCCCTGGGATGCTCACTCCGCAGGCGCCAAAGGGCAGCTGTGGAAGGTGGAAGGACCTCCACACTGAGAAGTGCCTCTCTCGTCATCTCTGACGTTCGGTAGACCGAGCCAAGGCTCTAAAGTCGCTTTTCCCCATCACTGACAGACATTCGAATTGCCTTGGGAGTTTTTGTGAGCTTTTTAATGTTTTTTTTTTTTTTTAACCAAAACCTGGGCCCATCTCCAGAGATCCTGTTGATGGGGTATATGTTGACACCTCCTCGGTTGACTCTTAGGTGAACTTTTCTGCTAGATGATAAAGGGTTCCTTTTATAATTCCTGGTACAGAGCACAGATGTCTACTGGCAATGTCATAGGCAAGAGACAGGAGACAAATTTCCAGTCACAGACATAGAACACTTGCAGGGCACACAGTTGTAGAACTGGGTATTTTAAAGCCTTTTGTCATTGACCTCTCAGCTTATAATATTGGGGAAACGTCATGCTTGGTAGCCAGCGGGGGAGGAGTGTAGCCATTTCTCTAGTTCACATAGCCAGATCAATTGCTTTTTGCCCTGAAGTCTAACCTCTCCAGGTTCGTTAGAGATAGCTGGCTGAAATTTACTTAATTTAGATTGAGAAATAGGCCTTAACCTGTACCCAGTGGAGCAATTAAGTAGGGGTGTCACAGGACGTGGAGCCTTAAGCTACATATCCTGGGATGACAGATAGAAGGAGCTCCAGTTGGGAGGCCCAGGGACATGTTTGAGGAGATGCTGGGGGTAATTGAAAGAGCCCTAAGGGTCAGACTGCAAACCTAGGCCCCTCTGCTTGCCTCTGTGGGCACTAGAGTCCATACCTGGGGACTTGTTGTCTTTTAGGATCTCTCTCTCTCTCTCTCTCTCTCTCTCTCTCTCCCTCCCTCTCTCTCTCTCTCCCTCCCTCCCTCTCTCTCTCTCTCTCTCTCTCTCTCTCGCTCTCTCTCTCCCTCTCTCTCTCCTCTCTCTCTCTCTCTCTCTCTCTCTCTCTCTCTCTCTCTCTCTCTCTCCCCCTCTCTCTCCTCTCTCTCTCCCTCTCTCGCTCTCTTTCTCTCTCTCTCGCTCTCTTTCTCTCTCTCTCTCTCTCCCTCTCCCTCCCTCCCTTTCCCTCTCCCTCCCTCCCTCCCCCTCTCCCTCCCTCCCTCCCTCTCTCTCTCTCTCTCTCTCTCGCTCTCTCGCTCTCTCTCTCCCTCTCTCTCTCCTCTCTCTCTCTCCTCTCTCTCTCTCTCTCTCTCCTCTCTCTCCTCTCTCTCTCCTCTCTCTCCCCCTCTCTCTCTCTCTCTCTCCCTCTCTCCTCTCTCCTCTCTCCTTTCTCTCTCTCTCTCGCTCTCTTTCTCTTTCTCTCTCTCTCTCTCTCTCTCTCTCTCTCTCTCTCTCTCTCTCTCTCTCTCTCTCTCTCTCTCTCGTGGGAGTTTGAGGAAGCAGGAAGTAAGGTGCTAGATGGGAGGGCAGAAGAAACCGCAGGTGCAGGGGGAGAATGTAGCACCTGGGGCAGAGACCATGGCTATGGGGAAGTGTGGGCCAGTGCTTGGATACATTCCCTTTGGAACTAGGCTAGGGCAGGGGTGGGAGCAATAGCACCCATGTCTGTCTGCCTGGGAGGTGTGGACCTTCACAGTGACACTTCTTCGGGGTGTTCGCAGCTCGTAGTGATTCTCACAGCCAAGAATCGTGCCCAGGATCCACTTCCTTGCCAGAAATCACAGTGTCGTCCACCCCCACCCCACCCCCGCCAGTGTGTCGCAGGTTAGTATTTATGAGAGCCTCAACTTTGTAAGGGACAGAGGGAGACTCAGCAATGGATCGAGAGTGTCCCCAGTCCCCTCCACATGTCAGGATACTGCGGGCCTGTGGAATTGGAATTGTAGCTGGTACTGGCTTCCTGGAGGGGCTAGAGATGTGTTGCTCCAGGAGCAGGGGTGTATGACTTCCTGCACAAGGTAATATGCAGTAGCTTCCCATGGATTCAGAACCAAATAAGAGTGCAGGGAGCAGTTCTAATTTGCTCTTCTGCTGCTGGGATAAAACATCCTAACCACAGCAACTTGAGGAATTACTTACTAGCTCATTCACTTTTGCTCAGCTGCACCGCGCAAGACAGCCTGCCTGGGTCGAGTTTTGCCTGCAGAGGACCTGGGCCCTCCTCTATCAGTAAACAATTGAGACAGTGCCTCACAGACATGCCCACAATTCTCCAATTGAGGTTCCGTCTTCCAGGTGACTCTAGGTTGTGTCAGGTTGCCAATAAAAAAAAAACACGACGTGGATGCCCACTTAAGATTTTCACGCCTCTGCCTTTCTACGGTTTCTGTCTTCCTGGGGCCAGGAATGGAGGGGAGGATGACGTTTGTATTATCTTATTGTAGAAACCTGTGGAGATGATCAGAGAGAACAAGGTCGAGGCATATATGATGAAATGGGGAAATGTGGTACCTGGCAAAGGTATTTTAAGAATCCCAGCAGAGGCACACACCTGTAATCCCAGTAACCAGGAGGCAAAGGCAGGGGGCGATTCTGCCTCTTCAGACAAAGCACAGGTTTTGTGCAGGGCAGTTTGCGTTTGGCTTGACAGAGTAGGTATGGGAGCAGGTGTGGTCTGCTTTGCACCCCCCCCCCACACACACACACATACACACATTTTGCTCTTAATTCTGCAAGCTTGAGCTCCTTCCATCACTGAAAAGCAGAAAGTGCTGTCTGAACAGGAATGCTTGAGTCAGCTTGTAGTGAAGGCTAGGGTACTGCCAGCCAGATCTGAGGAACGCACGCCCCTTTCCTGTTGTCAGCTCTGCTCAGCTTACTAAGCCTTCGCGTAGATGAGCTCAGCTGGGAGTTGGTCAGCTCGCTCTCAGCCGTTTCAGTGTGCTGGGGTAAGGAGGGGGGGGGTGGGTCGGGCTGAAGTTGTGGCCCTGGGACTGCTTCCTAGCCCCTGAGCCCTTTGGCATAGTGGTTAACAGGCCCGAGCCCCAGCTTCCTCAGAAGAGTGTCCTGGGTGTGAAATAGCACATATAAATGGCAGATCCCACTGCCCTGAAATTGTTGGCCACCTGGTTATTGGATTGTAGACCCTGAACTTTGAGCCTGGGTTATTCAAGTTTTTGAGTTTGAACCTCTGGTCTTACATGTAACATGCTGAGCAGTCTTTGTAGCCAGGCTTTGGGACTTGGACTATCAGGTTATGGTACCCAGAAAAAGACTGAGGTTAACATGGGCTTTGGTTGTTCTAACCCTGGCATTAGTTCAGTAGAGCATTAGTTGGGTTTTCTGTACTCTGGTTTCAACAATTCTGGTGGCTACAGACCATTCTGTTGGTATGGTTTCGTGAAACCATTTTTATGTAAATTGTAATTATGAAGCTCTAAATATTATAGCATCTATTGCTGAAAAGCAGAGGTTTTCATATAGTTTCAGTAAGTGCCATCTAGATTATTTCCATTTAAATTTTTCTTGATAGTCCTTGGAATATTGTTATAACTACCTTTTGAAGCCAGTATCCAGGCCAGATTTATCTTTTGTACTTGCTTGTTATTGTGATCTTTTTTAGTTTTATTGTGTGCTCTACCCCCCCCCCCCCCTTCTGTGTGCACAAATTGGTTCTTTCCTTCTGCCGTGTGGATCCTAGGGGTCAAAATCCAGTTGTCAATCTTGGCAGCAGATGCCTTTACCTCCAAACCATCTCACTATTTTTATCCTGGTCTTTTTAAAAGACCAGTTGGCCTGTGGATTCCCCAATTCTGGATTTGTCTGATGGCTTCCCCCACGACGTGGTTTAACTCAGTGCTATTATTAGCACCTTCTCTGTGATAACTTAGTGCAGTGTTTTTAAAAATTGCCTGTTTTCCGTAAACTGAAAGTTAAGTCTAAAGACTTAAGGTCAGTCAAGTCAAACATTTTTGGCAAGAAAATGTCATAAATGATAGTGCTTGTTTTGTTTATTTCTTTGTGTGTGTGTGATATTTTGCCTGTGTTTTGTCGGTGTACCATATGTCTAGAGAGACAGGTTGTCACACTCCCTGGAACTGGAGTTGAAGACAGTTGTGAGCTGCCATATGGGTGCTAGGCATACGTCGAACCTGGGGCCTCTGGAAGAGCAGCAAGTGCTCTTAACCCCTGAGGCATCTCTCTAGCCCCAGGTGATGGTGCTTAACTAATGCAATTCCTCAGCAGGAAACCTGTGCCAGATTGTGCTTGTTTAGTGAGGGCAGGTTTGGTTGCTTGGTTAAGCTGACCACTGGATCTCTCCCAAATCAAGGCAGTAGGAAATAATCCACTGTGGCATTGTAGGGACTGCCCCAAACCTTTCACCTAATGGACTTGACATCTGTGTTGGTACTGTGGCAGTTGCGGAATGCTTATTCTGTTTACCCCCCCCCACTGCCTTGAGCCGCAGGGGGGCCTCACTAAATCTAAACAGAATACTGGTCAGTTGCTGTCTTAGCTATTGTGCCTCGGTATCTAATTCTGTTAACCCTTCTCCAGCGATTACCCAGGGATCTTCTGCACACCCTGCAGTGTTCACTGTAATGTACGTAGTGGTTTTTATTCAGCTTAGAGAGCTCGAAAGACTCACTAGGCCCAGCATGAGCCAGTTTGATGTGGGCTCCTAGTGGTGAAGGCGTGTTATTTTATGGGAAAGGGGACGTGTAGCTGAGCTCTTCCTAGGAAATTGTAAATTCTGTCCTTGGAGCTACCCCCTTCTCTCCAACAAAACAAACAAAAACAATGAAAAGCTGGCCTGGCTTTTAAACTTACAGGCTATTCTACAAGTGGAGCCCAAAGTTTCATTTCCTCTGCAGTGTGTTAAACTGAGAGCAGGGGTCAGCCATTTTTGTCACACAGGACTAGGTCAAACACCCTCAGCATTTCTGCTAACGTTCTGGGGACTCGGTACGTCATCATTTGCCAGTTGAATTTCATTTCAAGTTGGTGTGTACATTTTCTTACTCATTATATACATATTAAAGTTACACAGGTCTAACTAAAGCCCAGGGTGTTTCGGTTCGTGTTCTCAGCACTATAATTCCTCATGTTTGTACAGTGCTGTCACCGGCAGAGCACTTGTATATATTATCACACCAGATCCTTAAGGAGTCAACACTGTGTTTTCTCCTTGGGCCATATGGGCTGCAGTTCTATGTCTGTGTACTTACCGTCTCTGTCAGCGGAGTCTCCTGAGCTCTGTTGATGGACTCCCAGTCGTACCCGTTAGTGACAGTGTTGCGGTCCCGGCATTGCAAAACCTGCATGGTTACCTTCCCTACGCCCGTGGCAGAGCCACCTTCCCTGCCCAGCACGGGCATTGTGTACCAGAAGGTAGGGCAGGGTCCTGCATTCTTGGCGCCATTTCCAGTTTCAGCTCTCAGATTCCATGCAGTGGACGGAGAAGCCAGGAGTCTGGGTTCTCTCCCTGATTACCTTCTATGAACCAGGCTTGTGCTTAGTGTTCCCAACAGAATTCTTTTACATCACCTGCTTAGAATGCCCGGTAGACTCCCCCCTCTCTCTTTCCATTTGCCCCCCCTCCATTTTGTGAATGAATAAACTGAGGTTCAAAATACCCCTGACTTTTCTGTTGTCGCAGGGGTAGGAAGGCTAAGCTTCTGTGTCCCTAGAAGGGTCCTGCCTGCACAGCCCAGAACAGCCACAGACGATTCCTCCCCTCCTGGCTCCCTTGTGATCTCATCTGGAACAATCTTAGGCTGGGGGGGATGCCACTCTTCCCCTTTTGCTGAGCCTGCTCTTGATTTCAGGTCTGGTCTCTGAACAGAGACCCACAAGCTAACTAAGGGCAGGATGGCAGCATCAGCCCCCCTGAGGAGCCTGGAGGAGGAAGTGACCTGCTCCATCTGCCTGGATTACCTGCGGGACCCAGTGACCATCGACTGTGGCCATGTTTTCTGCCGCAGCTGCACAGGTGATATCCGTCCTGTGTCCGGGAACCGCCCCGTCTGCCCGCTCTGCAAGAAGCCCTTTAAGAAGGAGAACATCCGGCCCGTGTGGCAGCTAGCCAGTCTGGTGGAGAACATTGAGCGGCTGAAGGTAGACAATGGCAGGCAGCCAGGAGAGCAGGCCCGGGAGCCACAGGACATGAAGTTGTGTGAGAGGCACCAAGAGAAGCTGCACTACTACTGCGAAGATGATGGCAAGCTGCTGTGCGTGATGTGCCGCGAGTCCCGGGAGCACAGGCCGCACACTGCAGTGCTGGTGGAGAAGGCTGCCCTGCCGCACAGAGTACGTCCTCTGGCACAAGACACCGAGGGTCTCCCCAGGCCTGGGGTGGGGGCGGGCTTCTGTCGGGCATTGCTTCTGCCACAGCTCGGGACACTCAAATTTCTCTCCCCACTGCTTGTCTTTCCCCAGGAAAAAATTCTGAACCACCTGAACACCCTAAGGAGAGACAGAGAAAAAAATTCAGGGCTTCCAGGCCAAGGGAGAAGCTGATATCATGGCTGCACTAGTACGTGGAAGTCATGGCTGGGAGGGAGTGTGTGTTCCGGGCAGGGACCAGGCGGGTGGGATGTGTTTCTAGGAGTCCTTGGGAAGTATGGGTGCTAGGCTGGCTTCAGGCCACCTGGGGCTTACCCAGAGACAGGGAAGGTTGGCCTGCCCTGTCCTTGCAGGAACTGAGGGACCCGACTTTGTGCCCTCTTTCTAAGAGTGAGAGAAGATGTGATTTCCTGAATAGAGGGTGGGGGTGGGGGTTAGGGGGGGGTGCTAGCTTCCCGAGAAGCTCTGACTGAGGCTGTCTAGTGACACTGAGGCCTACTATAGGCAGTACGGAAGACTGTTAGCACACTGCGTGCTCTCAACTAGACAGGTGTGGAGGGACGGCTGTTCAGGCGGGTCCAGTCCTGGGGGAGCATGTGTGTTGGGAAAATGGGCAGTGGAGGGATCCTGGGGTCAGGCCTAGCAGGGTGTAGCCAGGCTGTGAAAGAGCAGTAGAGTGAAGCTAAGGAGAACTCAAGTCCACCTCTAGGTCCTGGTGTGCTTGGACACCCTCACTTACCAAGAGGGATTGAGGACTCAGACGGACTCCAGCCTACAGGACAGGACTTGGTCCCTGAGTACTCACAGCCCAGCCTCACCAAGGAGAGAGGGCACAGTCCTACATGGAAAGAATGGGGTGCACTTAGTATGTCCAGAGTAGTAGGGGTGCTGGAGGAGATGATGGAGCGTGGACTTCATCCTTCAAGCAGAGCTTGAGGCAACACGGGGTTATTATCTAGAAGGGTGAAGTGTCGTTAATGGGACACATTGGCTACCTTCTGCTCCAAGACGTACTCGTCAGCTAGAGCAGATGGTGACAGCAGCCAAGTGTGGGGTTGGCTTCAGGAGCAGTGAAACGGAACAGACTGAATGACAGGTGTCAAGGAGAAGAGGGGGGAGCAGGCGCGCCCTGGTGACTTTCTACCTCAAGAGTTGCCAGAGGATTGAGCGGGCCCTAGTTCCTACAGGTGTCTCTCTCACACACACACACACACACACACACCTACCCCTTTCCTACAGACGAAGCTGCAGGAACAGAGACAGTACATTGTGGCGGAATTTAAGCAGGGCCACCAGTTTCTGAAGAAGCGCGAGCAGCACCTGCTAGACCAGCTCTCCACCCTGGAGCAGCTCCTCACCGAGGGCAGGGAGAAGTTCAAGACCCGGGGCGTCAGTGAGCTTGGCCGGCTGACTCTGGTCATCTCTGAGCTGGAGGGCAAGGCACGGCAGCCCGCTGCAGAGCTGATGCAGGTGAGCAGGGCCCGGTCTGCCACGCTTATCTTTTGAAGGGATTCCTCTTCCTGGGTCCTCAGTTTCACTGTCTAAAATAACTGGGCACGGTGGGCTTATCCTCCTTGTCACTCCACATAAGCTTAAACACTGGCATGGTATCACCTTAGAAAAACATTTCGCCATCTACAAAAAAAGTGTCTAAAAGATTTCAGAGCGCCCGTAGAACTGAAGGTCTTTGTTGCCATCCTCCTTCTACGACGTGAGACCATTCCATCAAGCCCTTCTGGTAACAAGACAGATATTTGTTGTTTTTGAGACAGCCTTAATGTGTCATACTGTCTGTCCTCAAACTCAAGGCAGTCCTCCTAACTCAGCCTTCTGAGTGCCGGGATTATAGATGTGGCTGAGGAAGGTGCTTACTTGGCTGATGCCTTGTGTGGTTTGGAGATGAGGGATGGCTGAGCTGTGGCCGTCAAGATCCCACCGTGCTTGGAAGAGGGAAGGGGGTAAGTGGAGATAAATGGAAGGTTTCTTCTGGACTTTGGAGCATCATCCTAGAGAACAGATTGGCAAGTGTGAGAGGTGCCTCAGGACAGGAAGTGAGAGCGGGCTGTCAGGTTTCACTGATACACTTCCTCCTCCTGGTACTTTCCAGAGGAATCAGGCTTGTGGGAGGGCTGGACCCTCCTCCGTCCTTCCCTTACAAGCCAGGAAAAGGGCTGTCTGCGAGTTTCTGACTCTGGTTTGAGATAATGAACCTTTCTGCCAGCAGAGGACACACAAAGGCCTCTAAGGAATGAGGTTCCAGGCCAGTGGCAGGGCACATCAGTAGCCAGGGGGTGGCCAGAGACGGTGATGCCAGTCCCCAGCACAGGCTACAGTCGAGCCGCGTGACTGGTCCAGGCCCTGGGGTAGATTAGGAATGAGGTCTAACTCAAGCCTGGAGTCCTGCTCTCGGGATTTGCACTCTTCTTTGTCCCAAGTCCTTCGGGATCCTTCCTTTGCTCTGGGCATTGCCTCCTCTCTAGATTTCTTTTACTAGCCTCTAGGTCGGTCACTTGTCTCCTCTCCCTTGTCCCACTTCCTTCTTCCCCCCCAAGGAGCGCATCACACTCCCGGCAGCTCTGCTCCTGAAGCTCCCATGATGGGGTGTGCTGAGGAGAGAAAATAGGGGTCTCCGTTTAAAACCGGGACGCAAAATGCTGGTGTTAGCAGACTTTTGTCTGTATTTGAGTTTCCCTGGAGCAAAGCTGAACCTTCTGGAGTAGTCCTTCACAGCCACAATTTGATGGTTGCATGTGTTTTCCAAATTGTGCCTCCCTGAGAAGCCAACCTGCCCTCTGCCCATCCCCCTTCACCCTCTGACTCCCGTAGCACGTCACTAACACAGTATGATGTTGTATATACGTATATATATATATATATATTATGTTGATTTTTTCCCCCTCTCTTGTCTGCTTCCCTCTGCTAGGATGCCTGCTCTACACAGGTAGGGATTTATCTTTTTTGTTGCTACTTCAAACTTCTAGATCAGTGCTTGCCTGGCACAAGGAATCACTTAGCAAAGGTTTGTGGAATAAGTGAGAGGAAGATGAAAATCAGTCAACACAGAGAACTGTGGAGGCTTCAGGCTTTACCAAAGCGCCGTCTCACCGGATGTTCCTGCCCTCTCTGTTGTCCTTCCATGCATCTTTCCCTCACGCAGACAGCACTGCCATTTTCCTCCTGCACAGGATGCCTCTCCACAGTGACCTTGGCCAGCATATCCACTTGAGTCGCTCTAAAGCAGTCCTGGGATGCTCAGCTCCTCTCTTGTGCCCTCTGCTGCCATCTCCAACTCCCTGTTCTACAACAGCCACCAGGGTACCCCTCCCGTTCCCATTGCCTCCTGCCACTATTTGCCAAGGATCAGCCAAGTGTCCAGTTACCCAGGGTTTCTGCTAGTTGCTGCTCAATAGCTCATATAGAGCAGAAGTTCCTGTCTTTGCAGCAGTTCAAAGGTGTGGGTCTAGAGACATCCATGCAGTCATCCAAGAGCTGGCTTATTTCCAGCTGACTGTCTAGTCTTGGGGATATTGTTCTCAGCCATGCAGTTTGAGTTGGATTCATCACTGTGCAAAATTCGGCCAAGGAGAAGAGAGGAACTAGAAAGCAATTTTATTTTTTAAAGAACAAGAATGAGAAGTCTTTCCCCCAGTGCCTCCCATTGGAACTTAGTCACATGACCAGACTTGATTATAGAGGAATGTGGGAAATGTAGTTTCTTGACTGGTCACCTGTCAGACCAGAACTTATGGAGTTTAGTATTAATAAAGAAGGAGAAAGGCAGGTAACATGGCTTAGCAGGTAAAAGGCACCTACTGCTAAGCCTGGTCACCTGAGTTCAACCCACAAGTTGAGCACAAACTCCCACAAGTTACCCTTTGATCTCCACATACATTGTGGTATAGCATACACTCACACACACACACACACACACACACACACACACACACACACACACACACACACACACACACACATGTTTAAAGGTGGGTAGGGGGGGAAATGGGTGCCAGGGGATAGTTGCGTTTTATCTCATAGAATAAATTAACCGCCATTGCCCCTTCCTGCCTGGTGTGATCTGGCCCTGCCTCCTCTCTAAGCCCCTTCCCATTTCTTAGCAGTCTGCACCCGGGCTAGTACTTTATCATTCTTCAACCCTTAGCTTAAGTGTCTCCTTGGAGAGGCCAGGTCACTTGCCACCTCTAGCTTTTTCTGCCCTTATGTTATTTGTTTGTTTATTTTATATGTATGGGTGTTTTTACACGAATGTATGTCTGTACACCATTTGTATGCTTGATGCCTGTGGAAGCCAGAAGGCGGCATTGGGCTCCCTGGAACTAGAGTTATAGATGGTAGTGAGCTGCCATGTGAGTGCCAGGAATCGAACCTGGATCCTCTGAAAGAGTAGCCGGTGCCCTTAACCACTGAGCCATCCCTCCAGCCTATTGTTTTCTAACCCTACCATGAGACTGCCGTCTCCCTAGGGGAAGGAGCTCCTGTGTGTTCTGTTTGCTGTTGTGTGCCTGTCTTGCCTGTTACGGTGTTGGCTTACGGGTGTGGTTTTACTTAATTCACTTTGGTGCTTTGTGTCTCCTTCCTTTGCAGGACTCCAAGGACTTCGCCAACAGGTAGGAGTTTCATTTGCTCATTGTTACTCTCCCCACTTCTGTGACTGTGGTCCATGTAAATGGTGGGGAGTGATAGGATGCCAAAGGCAGCCCTTGTGTCATCCCTCGGCCTTCAAGGGAGAGTAGTCTTTGAGGGTCAGGGGCTGCTCCTCTCCCGGTGCGATCTCTGGAGTCCAGCTGGGTTCACTGTCTTCCTCTGAAGCACAGTGGGAGAGCCAACGCCTGGCCTGGTAGACAGAGCGCTCACTTGTGGGATCTGCTGGCGGTCTTATGTCCTTGGTCAGTCTTTCTGTCTCTTGATTAGGGGTAATCAGACCTTTCCTGCTTGCTTTGTGATTGTCACAAACACCAGCAGAGCCAAACAACAGGCTCTTGTGTCCGTCACGTTTTCAGGTACCCAAGGAAGAAGTTCTGGATTGGGAAAGCCATCCCTCACATGGTTAAAAGAAAGGCGGGAGAATTCTCAGATAAACTTCTCTCTCTGCAACGAGGCCTGAGGCAGTTCCAGGGTAAGCACTGGGGGACAGCACCAAGCTGGGCCGACTTGGAGGTCTCCTGGCTTCTCACCTCCATAATCTCCCATCATATCCTTCCAAGGAGCTCTAGCTTCTGTATCTTTCCTCCTTGGGATCTCCAGTGGAGCCCCGTACCATCGTTGATACCAAGGCAGAAGTGGGTTCATGAGTTTGCTGGTCTGAAGCTCTTTTTTTTTAAATCCTTAGGCAAGCTGCTCAGAGACCTGGAGTATAAGACAGGTGAGTAAACAAATCGCTCTCCCCGTGGAGTCCTCACTGGTATTGCCCAAAGATGGCCCCAGCCCTTACGTTTTTGACCACTGAGTTGTCTACAATGTTGATGACCCTTTGATGTTACGGGTCACGCTTCTGGTCCTTCTCATCCACATGGTCCTCTCTGAGCAAACAGTAGTGCTAGCCCAAGGCCAGACAGAGATCATCCTGCCCCCAGACCTGGGCTGTGTGTGTGTGTGTGTGTGTGTGTGTGTGTGTGTGTGTGTGTGTGTGTGTGTGTCGAGTGCCCCCAGGGGACGCAGTTCACAGAGACTGTGATATAAATAGCACTCTTTGGAGTGTGCGGTGAGGCAGCACTGACACTGTGGAGACTGGTCTCCCCTTCCCAGCCCACCACCAACACCGTTCCTTCCTCCCTTGTCCCACAGTGAGTGTCACCCTGGACCCGCAGTCGGCCAGCGGGTACCTGCAGCTCTCAGAGGACTGGAAGTGTGTGATCTATACCAGCCAGTACCAGAGTGACTGCCTGCACCCCCAGCAGTTTGACTGTGAGCCAGGGGTGTTGGGCAGCAAGGGCTTCACCTGGGGCAAGGTGTACTGGGAAGTGGAGCTGGAGCGAGAAGGCTGGTCAGAGGATGAGGAGGAGGGGGAGGAGGAGGAGGAAGGGGAAGAGGAGGAAGAAGACGAGGAGGCTGGCTATGGGGATGGATATGAAGACTGGGAAACAGATGAGGATGAGGAATCACTAGGGGAGGAAGAGGAGGAGGAAGAGGAGGAGGAGGAGGAAGTTCTGGAGAGCTGCATGGTGGGAGTGGCCAAAGACTCTATGAAGAGGAAAGGGGACCTCTCCCTGCGGCCGGAGGATGGTGTGTGGGCCCTGCGGCTCTCCTCCTCAGGCATCTGGGCCAACACCAGCCCCGAGGCCCAGCTCTTCCCAGTGCTGCGTCCCCGGAGGGTGGGCATCGCCCTGGATTATGAAGGGGGCACTGTGACATTCACCAATGCAGAGTCACAGGAACTCATCTATACCTTCACGGCCACCTTTACCCGGCGCCTGGTGCCCTTCCTGTGGCTCAAGTGGCCGGGAACACGTCTCCTGCTGAGACCCTGAATTCCAGAACCAGCCTGGGCCGTACTATAGAATCTTCAGCTCTCTGAGAATCCAGGACTCTGAGATGAAGAAGGGTTGCCTAAATCCCACACCCATGGAAACTTCCTTTCTTTGGGATTCCCAAGACTGTGTGAAGGAACGTTCTTGGCCAGAGCACCAGGGGGAGGAAAGAGGAGGGACATCACGTCCAATTGCCACTCATTCCCCACTGCTGTGGCTGTGTCCTCTCTCCACTGTCCCTACGTCTGTATTTCTTGTAGCTTCTCACCCTCCTCCGGCCCATTTCCTCTGGGATCTCCTGCTCTGAAGACCAAATGACTCCCTCCTTCCTGAGCACCCGTTTGTCTTGGTCCCATGTTCTCTGTTGAGTAGGGGCAGCAGCAGCAGCAGCATTTTCTTGTTCAGTTGTTATCCAGGGCTCATGGGTATTGAGGGAGACTTGAAGCAATTTTTGCTGTTCTCAGATGTGAGGTCCCCCTTGCCCGAAACCATTCTGTTGCCTACCTTACCTGGCTTCTTACACTTGCATTTCCTACCCCACCAGAGTTAAATGTCTGAAAGAAGCAGGAATGAACATAGTCAAGATCCACTGAAGTTTCCATGGTTGTGTAAGTTTGTGTTTTAGAGTGCTGGTGGAATCATCTCCTGGTGTGGTTAATAAAGCTCATGGCCTCCAAACCCAGAGCATGTAGGTACTGCGACCCAGGCAGCAGCTTTAGTCAATAAATTACCTCTGCAGAGTAGTCCTTGTGAGGGGAGTTTTTTTTAAAACAATTCCAACATCTTGCTCTTGATCAGTGGTTCTAAAAACACAGAGGCCAATACCCAGGAGGTCAGAACTACCCTTGCCTCAGGGTCTTCAGCTAGCTTTAGGCCTCTGTTGTTGGCACCAAGGAGTGTCCAGAATCACTTTCTTAGATGGATTGGAGAAGGGAAGACAGGATCATGAGGAATCTTGAGAACCCCCATCCCAGGTCTTATGTGAAGACAGGGCCTGCAGTGTCTCCCTGCTGACCCAGCACCAGCCCCTTGGTCCAGTCACCCAGTACCCACAGTTGAACACCAGCTCCTGCGTAGCCAAAATGATGCCCCTCTTTTTATCCTCAGACATTCCACGTTTCCTCTGCCTGTCCAAGTGTTAAGCTCCTCTCTGCTCCTGAGAGGCTGCTCCCAGACGCTGAATCTTGGTGGCCTTGGAGTCACCACCCTGTCTCAAGACTGAACACTTTGTATATATCACATGCTGCCTGAGTCACTAGTACATGCACAGTGGCTTCCTCACCAACCCCTTTGTCTTTCCTGGGTTAGTCATCGCTCTCCTCTTCCTTCTCTTTTAATTCATTTCCTGTGTCTTTATATTACTAAATAAACTACAAGTTCTTTTCGGTGGTCAGAAATCTTAAGACAGTCATCTGGTGCTGTCTCCATATTTATCTTGATGCCTCTGAAGTGACCTTGAACTTTAACTCCCTTTTTAGAACCTCTTTTGTCATCAGACAGGGTTCTGGACATCCCCCACCCCCACCCCAGGCCCTGTAACCCAGGATAGCCTCAGTCTCATTATGTGGCTGAAGATGACCAAAATCTGAGATTTCAGGTAGGTGCCACGATGTCTAGTTCTAGGGTCTCATGCATCCTAGGCAAGCACTCCCCTCAGCTGCATCCCCAACCATGACCCTGTTTCTGGACCCCGTGTTTCCTCTCCCAATTTACTGTGGTTGGGTCACGAATTATCTAATAACTTCCTGAGGTGAATGTGGAAGTTGAATTTTTTTTTAAATCTTCAGTGTCTAGAAGTGTTTATCTTTCACTTATAGACTTCAAATGGTTTTCCTTCAAAATGCCAGAACATTGCTTTCCTGCCTTAAGCTCCTCTTATTCAGAATTCCCATGGGGCACTCTGCCTCAAGATCTTTCTCTGTGACCTGTTTCTGTTTTACAAAGGGGTTTGGAAATCTTATTTATATCCTTACTCCACATACTAGCACATTCCACAATGAATGACACATTTGAACATGTGCATGCATGTGTGCTCCCACACATACACACACATAAATACATACATACATACATACATACATACATACATACATACATACATACAAACAATTAAGGGACTAGACAGGATCTCAATATGTAGCCCTCCCTAGCCTGGAACTCAATTTGTAGACGTGATTGGCCTCAGACTCACTGGGTGAGATTTAAAGGCTTATGCTGCCACACCTAGGAGAAGAAAAAAACCTTTTTTAAACACCTGAGGCAGCCTAGAAAAAGGTTTATTTTGGCTCACAACTCTGAAGGTGCGATCCATGATCGGTTGTATCAATGCTTTTGGCTTTTGTCATGGCAACATTTCCTGGCAGGCACACGTGTCATTTGTTGGGAAACAGAATGAACCAGACTCCTATAGTCCCCTTCCAGAGCACACCCCAGTGAGCTAAAAACATTCCACCCTGGGGACCAGTCATTTAACAGGGGGATCATTCAAAGGCCTTGAACATTAGAACTGTAGAGTCTTGCCCATCCTAGCTCCAAGTTGTCATAATAGACAGATCAGACACAAAACACAAAGGCCTGTAGGTCACATACTTTATTAGGACATTCAAAACCTGGGTAAATGACCTGAGAGGGCTTTGGGGATCCACCCAGAGTTGATGAGGCTCCAAAGCATGTCCTGTTTTGTATCCAAAAGCCACTATAAATTAACACAAGCCAGAGTCCTGGCTTCCTTACCCTGATCACTTTGAGGCTTTTACAGGTTTTTGCTTGTTGGTTTTCCCTTCTAAATCCCATTGGCTCATACCTTAATGGTGTCTAGGTTGTAGCCTTCCTTGCCTGCCTCTGGATCAGAGGGAATATCATGTCCAAGCACAGGACTGCAAGGAGCTGAATTTACTTGACACTTAAATATCTTTTTAAAAAATTGCAAAAGATTCCAAGACACTAAATTCCAATCTGTCTTTTAAATACTAAGGACAGGGCTGGGTTCCAGGGTGCCGGTGTCTCTGCCACACTTCCTTGGCTCCCCCTCAGTCATTCAAAGTCAGGCAAGAACTTGTTTGCAGATGAGGTAGGAGTAGAGAAAGAAATGGCAATCGGTGTCCCGGTATGACACATTTGCAGGGTCTCTTACCCTGCCTGGTAGTCCAGGGCCACGTCTGCATTGAAGAACAGCTGTGTCCCCTGGTTCAAGACGGGTGGGTGCTGTCTAGCTGAAGCATGAACGCTGTCCTTGGTGTCCAGGGCCTGCTCTCTCCTCACCCTGGCCTCCTCGGGGGCCACTCCCATGGTGCAGCTGACACTCAGGTAGACATTAAGTCTTCGGAGTGGACCAGGCTCAGGTTTGTGGTCCGAGGGTCCCGAGTAGCCTCACACACACACTTCCAGGATGGAGCATCGACCATGCTGCCTGCTTCTTAAGCATCTGTTTCTGGAGGACAGATGTGACAGCTCTGCCTGAGAATTTGCTTCTTAAAGTGAGGTGCCCAGGCCACAGAGCAGGGCCTAGGAGCTTGTTAAAAGACAGAATCTTGGGGCCCCACCTAAACAAGAGCCTGCATTTTAATCAGATGTCTGGATGGCATTTCTACAGTAAGTTAAAGAAATAAGGATCAATGTGAGATCAGGCAAGTGTTGGTGGGAACAGGTAAGCTCCAGTTTGAACGTAAATGCTCTTGCCCCTCCTCTCCCAGTCCCTTTTTTTGTAGTACTGGGACTTTATGCATTCTAAGCAAGCATGCTCTAGGAAAAAGCTGTTGATACAGCCCTAGAGCCCAGCCTTATCCATCCCCCTCCCCCAAAGGGTGTCACTAGCTGAGGCTGACCTAGAACTAGCTCACGAGTCCAGGCTGACCTTGAACTTGTGGCAGTCGGTCTGACTGCTTCTAGTTCTGGGATTGTAGCCGTGTGCCGCCACACCCAGAAAAATGCTGAGGGTTTTTTGGTTTTTGATAATATACAATATTTGTTCAAATCTGTGGAGATTCTAGCATAATTCTAGGCCAAGCTTGGGCTGACTACGTATTTTGAATGAATAGACAGTAACTGACAACATTCATCGATCACTGTGTGTCCAGTACTGTGCTGAGCTCTCTGTATACCATTAATTTAATCTTCACATGGACATGTAGCGTAGCTTCTGTTAACTGTTTACACTTTGTGGTGGGGAGAAAGAGCTTAATAGACTCAAGACCCCAAGCAATCAGGGTCAGGTGAGCACAACTCATTGCTGTTTGTGGCCATGGGTGGAATGGATAAATGCTGGGGTGGGGGTGGGGGAAGCCCAGAGCCCTCGATGATTACCTGAATCTGTTTCCAGATGATGTATCAAGTTTTCTGAGGAGAGCAGAAAGAGAAAGATCTGTGAGACTTACAGAAACTCCTGAGGGGGAGGGTGTTCTGGGTACGTTGTGAGGACCTGGACATAAGAGAAATTGCCTCTCTTTACTGAACTCTGACACCAGTGACTCTCTACTTGCTCCCTCAGTAGAGTGAGGTCTTGTGGGAAGTTCTGGGGAGGGAAGATGCTTAACCCAAGCTGTTTGCTTAATTTTACTTGAATTTCACTATGTAGTCCAGGCTGGCCTGAAACATGTGGGATCCTCCTGCCTCAGTCTCCCTGGTGCTAACATTACCGGCATGCTTAGTGGTTTGAACCAGGTTTTGAAGTTAGGGAAAGATGGAAGGTAGAAAAGTCCCTTTACCTGAGAATGTCCTCATCATCTTTGGGAGACCAAGTATTTTCCTGTGGAGGTTTCGAATCTTCCTAGCAAGATCAGAGGAAATGGCCTCCGGACTCACAAAAGTCTTCATCTCATACCTGTGGACAAGTTGGAAATCAAACTCATTCTAAAAATAAAATACTTCATTTTATTTGTGTGTGTGTGTGTGCAAAAGTCCTGGTTCTGGTTCCTTTGCAGCCCTCATTAGTTATGGGCTGTGTGCCTTAGTATAAACCTTTCTCCTTTCAGCTCCCCGTCACATTGTAAGACACGCCACATCCTTCTTGACTGCAGTTCTAACACTCTTTGAGAAGCATGCTTGGAGACACTTTCAATTGGCTTTAGGTACCGGCTAAAATACCAGTAACTTCACGGATTAATGGTAACTTCTGGGAGCTGGACACGCCCAACAACAAGAGTTCAGTACCCAGCATCTACATGGTGGCTCACAACCTCTATAATTCTAGTTCCTGGGGATCTGCCAGCCTCTTCTGGTTTCCCCTGGCACCAGGCATGCATGTGATACATATGACGTACTTGCAGGCAAAATGCCCATACACATTGAAATGTAAACTTAACAATTGTATTTAACTTTGCTCTGAGGGGATAAACTATCAACTTACGTATTTAGTTATTTTGATAGAGGGTCTCTGTAGCCTAGGCGTGCCTCAAACTCATGATCCCTCTGCCTCAACTCCTCAGTGCCCAGTTTTAACCCATCTGTTTACTGAGTTTGAGCTGTTAGTGAGAGAACAACTGGCCTCTTTTTCTGGGTGGCCATCCACAAGATGGCCACTGGATTTCAGTGTCTTCAAGTTGCACATAAAGGAGACAGGATTGATTGGAGAGGGCCTTACCTGCTCTGGTTGAGTCTGGCATCCTACAAAAGAGATGCAAAAGCATGCACTTAGTTTCCACATGGTCTTTCCCATCGGGCACTCTAGATCTTTCTGCCTTAACATCAGCTAAAAGTTCTACCCAGAGTGTTGGAGCCCTTTAGTTACTTACTATGCCTTTTACTGCTCTCCTTGTTTCCTGACTAGGACCCTGCAGCCAGTTCCTTTGCTCTGATTGCTCTGTTTCAACTGTATCTTTAAATGGGTTCTGCTTCCCATGATTAAGAGATAGTGGAGAGCAGAGGCCAGTCTGAGTTCCAAGTTGGAACTGATGTAGGGCAGCATGGTGACCACCACAAAGCCATTGATGGAGCTCTTCCTGTGTTCTGGGGGCTGTGATGAGCACCACACATGGGTAATTTCTTACAACTCCATGAAAGGATGCTATTACCACACCATGCTTAAAGAAGCTAAGAGACTCACCTAAGTGACATAGTTGGAAGAACTGGCACTAAACTCAAGATTGTCTGATCCCAGCCATCTTTGCACGGTCCTCATGTGTGCCTTGGGAAATTCTCTTGGTCTTTTGGGCCATAGAAAGCACACCCTCCCCCCTCCCCTGCCCTTCCCAATGGAGGTAATTCCTATTTCCCTTTCCTGCCTGTCTCCATCACCTCCCAGCTGCAACACAGTACCACCCTTCCTGTTGGATCCTCTGCTGCCCCCCAGGGTGGTAGGATTGTGGAGTGTCTCTCACTTGCAGAAGCTCACTTGCTGGTCGCTGACATTTCTCTTCCAGCTCCTCAACCTGGGCGCCCAGCCGGTGGACCTCCTGAGAGACCTTTGTAATGTACTCCTCCCTCTCCTCCCAGATCTGCTGTTCTAGCCCCTCCAGCCTGGTCATCAGGAGGTGCCTCTGGTCCCCAAGCTCCTGTGTCAGCCTTTCAAATGCAGCTTCTACCTGTTGCTTCTTGCTTTCAACCTGCATCTGTAAGGATATGAGAAGGGACTCAGAACTGACTTCCAGAAAGGTCATCTGTGCACTTAATCGATTAAGAGAAAGAAGGAATAAGCAGTGTCGAGCCACGTTCCTTCAAATAATACAATGGTAGGAAGAGACAGGTCTCAAGATAAACCTGATCATAAGAGCTGTGCTGTTATCTTAGCCAAGTATTGTAATAACGCCAAAATGAACTCTTATAGCCACACTAGACTAAAAAAAAATTCATATCTAGGATTCCCTACTGTTGCCATGGTAAAACATGACAAAAAAAACTAGGTTGAGGAGGAAAGGGTTTATACCTCTGCATCACATTCCATCACTGAGGGAACTTGGTTCAGAACTGAAACAGGAACATAGAAGCAGAGGCTGTGAAGAAACCCTGGTAACTGGCTTGTTCTCCACAGCATGCTTAGCCTTCCTTCTTAACCACCTGTGTAGGCTGGACCCGCCCACATCAGTAATTCATTAAGGAAATGTCCCTCGGGCTCGCCACATACAGCCAGTGTGATGGAAGCATTTTCTCAACTGCTTTCCTTTCTTTCCTCAATTCCACATTTAGAAAGGGTCCCCTCTTCCTGGACGACCCTAGCTTGTGTCCAGTTAACAAAAAAATCAGCACACCTACCAAATCTCCAGACTCATATGGAGTAGCTATAGTAACTTTTTTTTTTTGAGATATATTTCCAAGTCTCATGTATCCTAGGCTGGCCTCAAACTCAATTCACTATGTAGTCAAAAATGAGCTTCTGACCCTCCTACCTCTACCACCCAGGTGCTAGGCTCACAGGTGTACTTCAGAGCTTCCATCCTATTCAATGCTGGGGGGTTGAACCTAGGGCCCCATGGATTCTAGGCAATTAATTACTCTTCATACCCAGCCCAACACGGTAATCCCCTGGAGAAAAGGCAAAGGGGGATTGTGGTCAGAGTCACCACCTATGAAGCATGTTTTGATGGAATTTGAAAGATGCTACAGAGAGCTTTGTATCTCAACACTTTGTCTCTTTGGCCAAAGTGCCAGAAATACCTAGTGTGCATTTTCCCCCTTGATTACTGCATCATGAAGGAAGTCGTGAGAAACAGCAGCCAAATCTAACTGCTTCATTCTTCTGCTGTCCTCAAAAACCTGAACCTAGACACCAATGGACACCCAATATAGGCTTTCCAGCTGAAGGTGATGTTTCCAGTAGGTATGCTGGTCCAGGAGAGCTGTGGACACAGGTCAAAGAGACCTAAGTTCTTGTCATTTCATCATGAGTTTGGGCTTTGCCACTTGGCGTTAGGAGCACCATTTTTATGGGTATGAGTAGAATAAAGTATGTCCTGGATTAGAAGTCATCAGAGCCGCCTCCAGCCTCCATGTCCTGAGACACGAGATGCCTTTGTGAGGCTGCATGAAGATAAGTTAGAAAAGGCTGAAGTTCTCAGACTTCCCTAGCCTTTGAAGGAAACCCCCAAGGGAGCAGCATAGGGCTGAAATTCAGTTGCACAAGCCTCTAGGCTGGATATCTTGTTAGGCTTAAACGGGGCATGGTGACGCATGCCTGTAATCCCAGCACCTGGGAGGTGGAGACAGTAGGATCAGTTAAGCAGTGAATCTGAGGCCAGTTTGAACTACATGAGACCTAGACAAACAAACATCCTGTACCTAGACAAACAAACAACAAAACAAAGGAACAGGAGTGTGGCTTTTACCAGGAGCTCTCGGAGCTTGTGGTCTTCTTGGCATTTCTTGTCTTCCATCTTGTCCCGCTCCATCCTCAGAGCTTCTAACCGACTCTTGAGACGATCCTGTCGGAGACAGGAGAGCAGAGGGAAAGAGGGTCCGTGAAAAATCCAACTGGCAAAGCCATGTGCTGTGTGGTGGACGCCGCACCACTGGGGCCGAGAGATTCAAATCCTCCAACTTCACCGTATCACCATCTAGGGCCGAAATTGGACCCGGTGGTACTATGGAGACGGAAGAGTGTGTAGTGCGTGCGCCAGCAGGGGGATAGCAGCGAAGAGGAGGGCTGAGAGATGTCTTTAGACAGCAAATCTCCATCCCTTATCCTTCACCCACCAACGGCGGCGGCCAGGTCCCCGTCCTGCCCGCCTCAAAGCGGCAGCTCGGCTCCTTACCCTGTAGGGCTGGATGGCTTCATCCAGGAACCCCACGGTGTGCGCCTGGTGGGCGGGGCCCTCCCTGCAGAACACGCAGAGCAGCTCCGCGTCGGTCTCGCAGAAGAAATAGATCTTCTCTCCGTGCTCCTCGCAGCAGGTCTCGCCCAGGGGACCCAGGGGCACCGGGGCCACTGCGGCCTGGGTTTGCTCTTCTTCCTCCTGACAGAGCGGGCACAGCAGCTTGGCCCCCATCGGTGTGCGCGGGAGGCAGGATAGACAGACAGCGTGTCCGCAGGCTATGGTCACCGCATCCTGCAGGGGCCGGGTGCAGGCGGGACAGGCTACGTGATGAAGTCCCCGCAGGGACCGGGTTGAGGGCATCACCGTGCCTTTCCCTGCCGGTCCACACAGTCTTCAGCCTCTGTCCTCTCCAATTTCCTTTCTCTGAAACTGAGTCACTTTTAAGTGCGTCACTGTCTCAGAGGCAAAGGAATCCGGGGCTGAAAGAAAGGCAAGAATGTCAGCTCAGCGAAGTCACCTGGCTCCGCCTCAGGCACGCCCAGAACCCCGCGCCACCACCCAGCAGCTAAACAGGTCCAAACTCCATGGCGTCTTGACTACCCAGCGTTTCCCAGTGGCGGGCAGGTGACCTAGCTCTCTACTCCTGTCGCCTTCTGTCCCCGGGGTGGGGAGCAGTGTATTGCACCATGAGGTCACTTGGAAATGGGGTTTCCTGGAATCGCTTGGCCACATAGGGGTGGAACCGTTGGGGAGGAGCCGCTTCCTGTCACGCTGAGAAGGTGAGGGCCATAAATTTCGGACTAGGAGGCCTGTGGTAGCATCAAAGTCCAGCCTGTGGTGTTGAGACGGATTTCGAACTGCAGGCCTACATGCACGTTCCTCCGCTTGGCCCCTTCCTTTTCTCCTCTGCCTCATAGGCCGGTATAAGGTTTCCTGTACTCCTAAAGCCCACGCGGAGCACCACCTAAAGCCTGGATTTCAATTTTTTTCGTTTGCTTGTTTTTTAATAAAAAAAAGGTGTGTGTGTGTGTGGTGTGTTGGGGTATATATGTGCCACATGTGCAAGTCTTCTCAGATGGGATCCCCTGAAGTTCAAGTTACAGGCAGTTGTGAGTTAGTCCCATCCTGCTTGAAAGTGCAGCAACTATTCTTACAGGCTGAGCCATCTTTCCAGTCCTTCAATTTTAAATTAAAATTTTTTTTTTGTTTTTTTGAGGCAGGGTTTCTCTGTATTGTTTTGGAGGCTGTCCTGGAACTCGCTCTGTACACCAGGCTGGCCTCGAAGTCACAGAGATCCACCTGCCTCTGCCTCCCGAGTGCTGGGATTAAAGGCGTGCACCACCAACGCCCGGCCATTTATTTTTATTTTTAATTCTTATGTGTATGATTTTTTTTGTCTGCCCTCATGTCTATGCACCACTGTGTGCAATGCCTGAAGAGCCAGTAGAAGGTGATGGATCCCCTGGAACGGGAGTTACACATGGTTCTGAGCCTCCTTGTGGATGCTGAGAGCCCAGCCTGAATCCTCCGCAAGAGCAGCAAATTCTTGAGCCGTGAGCTCTGGCAATATGCATTCTGTCCCCCCCCCTCCCCGAGCAATCACTCCAGGGCTATATCTAATTTAATAGCAACCTGCTGGGACAAGTGTGGAGAAGGAGATTCCCGCTGACACGTTAAAAGGGACTTCTAAAGGTCAGAGAGTTGGACAGTCACAACGCTGGGACACTGGAGTGCTTGGATTCCAGCCCTGTGCTCTTCCCAGGGCCGAGACAAAAATCAAACTGCCAGGGTCCCTAGGCGAGGACTCACCTGCCCTGTGGGCAAAGCCAGGCCCTTCCGCTCACCCCCCCCCTTTTACACCCCACCTACTTTGTATGTTCCACGCCCACTTCCTGCCCTACCTACAGCAATGCACACCTAGAACAACTGTCTAATTCTGCTTGAGCAGTGGTGTATGGTCAGCCCTGGCTGAGTGTGCTGTATATAAAACACTTCCCATATATATACTATATATATACTATTAATATTTATTTCATCTTTCTTTCCATTTTTTACACTTACACGTATTTCCTCAGCCTTTATTATGGGAAACATCCAACCTTATTGGTTCTGTGAAGGAAGGAATATTAGCTCGTATACCTTTGTGCTTTCTGGCTGCACCCTCTACTTGTAACTATTAGTCCACCTGCTCCCTTTGCATAAATACAACATATATCTCTTCCCCCATGCAGCCACACTGGCATTAAGAAATCTGACATGGGCCACCATGATGCCTCATCAGGTAATTCACCTGCAGCTAAGCTGAGGGCCTGAGCCCAGGACCCGCATGGCTGGAGAACCGACTCCACGAAACCGCTCTGTAACTTCCACGTCCGTGCCCAGATACCAGCACCGCTGCCCACCCCACCCCCACACACAAATAACAACCAGATAATTTAAAGAAAAAAATTAGCGATCTATTAGTGAGCTCGCCGTCAATATTCAAAACACCCAGTTGTCCCAGTAACGTCCCTTTATAATTCTGTCTTGTGGCTCCAGCTCATAACGGCAACTAGAACATTTTAGGTTGCACATATGCGATATGCGTCTTTCACTAAATTTTGTTTTTCTTTTTCTCATGGCACATTTCATGTAGCTCAGGCTGGCCTCTGAACTCTGAACTCTGTAAGCGGGGCTGGTCTTGAACACTCGATTCTACTATCTGTCTCTATTCCAAGTGCTGAGATCACAGGCATGTACTGCCAAGCCTGGTTATATTTTGTGTTTCTGGTAGACTGCATTGCTTGGACGACTCGTAGCTTTGACTTGCAGATAGACCACAGTTACTTGAGCTCTATTTGCTCGCCTTGGATGAGGTGAGGTAAACCTGGCGGAGCTTGCAAAACAGAGTTACGGGACAGCAGGGTGTGGACAGAGCAGAGGTGAGGTAAATAAACCATTTAGAGTGCTTCTATCACTGGGAGATGTGTAGTCATGGTTTTAAAAAAAAGTGCTGGCTGTGACTCTGTTTTTCCTCGCCCACGCTGTTTTTATTTCCAGCCCCCTTTAAAAGCCTGTCATAGGCCTATGGCGGCTTCGCCACAGTTGCTTGTGCTGTGCACACCCCAACTCAGGAGCCTTATCTGAGTCCCCACACTCCCCTGTCCACCGACTGTCAGGCCTCGAGCTGGCTGATACCGCAATCTCCCTGGAGACAGGTGGTTTTGCGTTGCAGAGCTGTCCTCTGTGAGTCAGCCTCCTCCCTGCCCCCAAAGAAAGATCTCTTTTAACGGTGGACTTCTGAGAGACCAAACACTCTCATCTTTCTGTGAGCAGCTCCAGGCAGGCAGAAAGGAACAGTGAGCCCCGGGGCCATGGGAACTGGTCCAGGGAGTAACTTCAGCGCCTCTGGATGAGGCTGTGAGCTCCTAGGCCTTCCTCTTCTGCTACTTCTTCATCTCTGCTGTTGGCAGGAGTGTGTCTGCTCCTGGGAGAGCGGGCCAAGGGGCCTCTGGTGCCAGAGATGCAATTGGACCTCTCGTTTCAAGAGTGCGTGAACCATGTCTGTGTCCAGGCATGGTGTGCCTATGGAGTGTTTTCTTCCCACCAAGCAGAGATGGTGACTTCCGGAAAGCAGCAGAAGACCCAGCGTGATTGACATGGCCTCTGCTCCTTCTGTGACAAGCCTGGCAGATGAGGTCAACTGCCCCATCTGCCAGGGCACCCTAAGGGAGCCAGTCACCATTGACTGTGGCCACAACTTCTGTCGTGGCTGTCTGACTCGCTACTGTGAGATCCCAGGACCAGAATCGGAGGAGTCCCTCAGCTGCCCGCTCTGCAAAGAGCCGTTCCGCCCAGGGAGCTTCCGGCCCAACTGGCAGCTGGCCAACGTAGTAGAGAACATTGAACGCCTTCAGCTGGCAACCACGCAAGGTCCACAGGTGGAGGATGCCTGTCCCCAACACGGGGAGAAGGTCTACTTCTTCTGCGAGGAGGATGAGGCACAGTTGTGTGTGGTGTGCCGTGAGGCCGGACAGCATAGGACTCACACTGTGCGCTTCCTGGAGGACGCTGCGGGTCCCTACAGGGTAGGAGAAGATCCCTGCAGGGTAGGAAAGGGCACTGGGTGACCCTTGTGGGAGCTGGTTTGGATGGACCAAGGGAAGTAGAAAGGCGTTGGCAGTTCTGGGGTGGAAGGGGTATGCTGACTCCAAATTCTTTCTCCTTGCTTTGATCACCCAGGCAATAGACTCAAGCACAGAAAAGCACAGGTTTATGATTAAAGAGCACATTCTATGTTGTTTCTTTGTGGACCATATATAGTAGACGCTCAGTAAATCCTTTCTGAACGAATGAGCCATCAAATGTGTGTGTGTGTGTGTGTGTGTGTGTGTCTGTCTGTCTGTCTGTCTGTCCTGTATCAGTTTAAGTGTGTTTGAGGTTTGCATTTCAGGGAATAAGCTGTACGTTTACAAGAGTTGATGTCTTCTGTGTGGAGAGGTGGTCTGAGTGTGATGTATTTGAAGCATACTTGTAACTAAATGCTCCTGTTGTGAATAAGTTAGTTGGGTGTACATATGTGGCATATAATTTTAGTTTTCATTAAAGGGTGTATTGCTGGTTTTAGTTGCTTTTATACTGTGTTTTAATACAAGCAGGTGCTTGTATGTATGATGTAGCATTAGTTAATAATCTTTTTTTTTTTTTTGGCTTTTTCGAGACAGGGCTTCTCTGTGGCTTTGGAGGCTGTCCTGGAACTAGCTCTTGTAGACCAGGCTGGCCTTGAACTCACAGAGATCCACCTGCCTCTGCCTGGGATTAAAGGCGTGCACCACCAACACCTGGCCAGTTAATGATCTTTTGAAAGTGAGATTTTTATATGTATTCTGGTTTGTGTATGTTTTTTTTTAAAGACAGATCTTAATGGAGGATTACCTCAGACTAATTATATAGCCTAGGATGACCTTGAATTTCTGATTCTCCTGCCTTTATCACCTTAAATGCTGGGATTGTAGGCATGTGCCACCACACAAGTTTTATGTAGTGTTAGCAATTGAACCCAGGGCTTCTTATATGCTAAGCAAGCACTTTAATAACTGAGATACATCCCCAGCTTTCCTGTCAGTGTTTTTAAATATACATATGGATATTTATGTGTTTGGTTGTTCCTAACTCTATTCTAGAACAATTTATAAAATAGTGCATCAATTATTTTGTATGACATTTCTTCTCATGTCGAATCATTTCTAGATTATTGGTTCTACCAAAAAAGGAAGATGTTATTTGAATGTATTTACTTTGGGTGGCATGATTTCAGTTTCTGCAAAGAACATGCAAAGCTCAGGTCATGGGTAATACTTGTCACATGCAAAAGAAGATAGTTGTTTAACCTGAAGAAGGACTCAAAGGGTAAGCAAAGCCATGACCTTTGACGGTTATGAGAAGGGGATAAACCCTGGACAAAGTCTCTGGAGCATGAAGCAAGAGGAACAAGACACAAGGCCAGGCTTGGTGGTGCTGACCTGTGATCCTAATGTTAGGAAAATTGAGGTAGGAGGAGCCTGAGTTTGAGATAACTCTGGGCTACACGAAATCCTACCTCAAAATCAGAATAAAGAAGAAGACCCTGAGTTTGTCAAGGTGTGGAAGTTCACACTCATCTCCAGGGCATTTCACATCCACAGATTGAAGGGAGTGACGTCCCTTTGTAGTTACTTTCTCCATCTTAGTATTTTATGCTCCTTCTCCCCAGGAACAAATACAGAACTGTCTTATATGTCTAAGGAAAGAGAGAACGGAGATTCAAGAAATCCAGTCAAGGGAAAACAAAAGGATACAGGTGCTCCTGGTAGGTCTCCATCTCCCCGTCCCCAGCCCCAGCCCTTGCTCCAAAGTCTGGGGCCACTGGACAGAGACTTGAAGGTGTTACGAGTTTGATTCCTGACTCTGACATTAACTCCTCTGTCTTGAGCAACTCTCTAGCTTTAGCTTAGTGGCCCGTGAAATGGAGATTAAGATTCATCTCCTTACTGAATCACTTACTGCGGGAATTAGTGTAACCCTGCCTCTGACACCTTAGTGGTGTGCACACAATGTGTGCTTCCTGCCGGGCAAGACACCAGACATCTCTGGTGTCTCTGGGCCCCCTTTAGAAGCTGCAGTAATGACGATGAGGCCATCCTGGGCCTCGTGAGAAACCGGGTGGCAGGCAGAAAGAACACCAGCTGCAACTCCACATCCATATGGGGGGGGGTCAAGGAACAGGTGGGGGGGACAGCTCTGATTTTGTCATCGAACCTTGGGAGGTGTGGGTATGGATCAAGAGGGAAGTGGGAATATGCAAGGGAAAAGGAAAGGAGGAGGAGGAGATTCTGATGTGGGGAGAGGAAAAAGCGTCCTCCTTGGCTCTCACTTCCTTCCCAGACTCAGGTGGCCACCAAGAGGCAACAGGTGACTTCCCAGTTCGCACACCTGAGTCAGTTCCTGGAGGAACAACAAGGTGTCCTTTTAGCACAGCTGGAGAGGTTGGATGGGGACATCCTGAAGCAACAGGAAGAGTTTGATTCCCTGGCCACCGGGGAGATCTGCAGGTTCAGCACCCTGATCGAGGAGCTGGAGGAGAAGAAAAATCGGTCGGCGAGGGGGCTCCTGACGGTGAGACCTGGCCTGCCCTCACCCCTGGGGTCTCTGGAATCATTGCCTGATTGTTGTCTGCTTTACATACATGGCTCTGCATCCACAATGGGATGTGGAGCACAGGACTGGGGGCAGGGGTTAATTTGTTCCTCACCAAGAATTCCCTGGTCATGGTACTCTCTGGCCTTGGTCTTCTCTCCTGCCATCCATAGAATGGGAAGAAATGAGAATGCAACGGTAAAATAAGGTAGAAGTTGCTACTGAAAACTACCAAGCATTGTGCAGACAACTGCCAGGTGCTGTTTCCAGAGCAAACTTTTCATAACTTGAGTGTCCCCTCCACTGGCCAGGAAGTTCTCCCTACGCTGAATTACCTCCTTGAACTGGAGGAGAGTTATTGGGGTTCCATCAGCATGGTTTAGGGGCATGTACTGGGTACTGGGAAATAAGAGACTTCGGTGTAGGACTTGTGTAGTTTTGCCTGTTGGTAGAAGTTGGGCATATCACCAACTCTGTCCATGAAGCAAAGGAGTTGGGTTTTTAGTCGCCATGGATCTATCTGTCCAAGACTAGGAATATGGCTTTTTTTTGTGGATATAACAACAGTAGAAGACAAAACCCAGAAACTGAATCAATCTCTCTCTCTCTCTCTCTCTCTCTCTCTCTCTCTCTCTCTCTCTCTCTCTCTCTCTCTCTCTCTCTCTCTCTCTCTCTCTCCCCTTCTCTCTCTCTCTCCCTCTCAGGATATCAGAAGCACTCTAATAAGGTGAGTGATACAATGCCTATTTCTTCTTTTTGCATAGATAGCCATCCGTGCTCCACCCACCTAGTTATTGCTGTGCAAATAAACCTCATGCACTGCTGTAGCTCTACCCACTTGTGGAGCAGTGGGGTCCATCTGAGAGGATGGGAAGTTGCTGCTCCAGGCCTTGTTAGAAGAAGATGGCAGCCTGGAGACATCATTAAAAAAAATAACTCTAGGGGCCAGAGAGATGGCTCAGTGTAAAGACCCTGGACTCAGTTCCCAGAACCCACACAGCAGTTCTCACCCATCTCTAGTTCCAGTGGATCCTATGCCCTCTGCTGGTATCCACGGGCACTGCATGCATGTGCCGCACATACACACATTCAGGTAAAATGTCCATGCACGTAAAATTAAGTATTTCTTCCAAGAAGAACAATAATTCCCCAGACTGCCGTTTCTGTGCCCCTAGGTGTGAAACTAGAAAGTGCAGGAAACCCGAGGCTATATCTCCAGAGCTGGGTCAGAGGATCCGGGACTTCCCCCAACAGGCCATCCCTCTGCAGCAGGAGATGAAGACATTTCTGGGTAAGGGGCTCCCCCCACCCCGCCCCTGCCCCCGCCCCCCCCAGCAGGCTGCTGTACACACAGCCTGAGCTTGGGAATGACCTCTGCCTCCACTACCAAATGGCTATGTGTTATAGCATGGCTTATCTCCTTTAGTACCTTAACGTTCTTATTTGCCAAGTCCAATAAAAGTCTCTCAGGATGACGTGACGGTGAAGAGAATTAAAAAAGAAGAAGGGAAGATTTTTGGGGCTTGGGGACTAACCCGTTAAATCTGACCAGTTGATGTGAAATAGTAGAAAAGATAATGGTTAACAGCATCCATGACTCTTCGTCGTCAGAAGGTAGCATGTGCATCGATGCACTGTGCTTTGGTGTTTAACTGTGTTAACTGGTGACGGTGTTTTGCCTAACTGCAGAAGCTGACTCTCCCCTCCCCTTTTGCTTTCCTTCCACTGTTTTTTTTTTTTCTCACTACTGACAGTGTGTGTTTGGTAGGCAAGTGCTCTACTACTGACCTACAACTCCAGTCTTCTCCCCCACTGCTTTTTATCAGTCTGACTGACTACACTGAGCCTCCCTTATAGGAACCCAGCCCCAGTCCGTTCCCGGAAGCAGTCGTAACGGCAGCCAGCCAGGAAAGCTAGAGATGTTAAGTTGTGGCTCTTGGCTGTCCATGACGTTATGAACAATGCCACCTCTTTCTAAATGTCACACCCACGAACAAACATGTCCCTGGGAGGACATTCCTGAAAGCCCGCTTCCCGCAAGTACTCCCATGGACTAGACTCTGGTAGAGGAAATTCTACTCTAATCAAAGGCTGGCTTTTGGCTAGCCCAAACATTATTTGCAAGTAGAAGAAAACGAAGTGAGCCCAATGATCTTTTCCTTAAGTAGATGTGTAGGCAAGGCAGACACAGACCCTGTCTGCCCTGGGCTAGAGTAGCAGGCTTCTCCCTGGGACTCCAGGCCCGGGGGTGGGGGGTAGGGGGAGGCATTAGCAACCCTTGAGAGCTTGTGTGAGCATGGGTTATCTGCAGTCCTGTCCCAGGGTGTCCGGATTTGAAATGAGAGTGGGTACAAGCGCGGTTTAGCAGCACTGGTTAAGAGGATTCCAACTTCCATTCTTCTCTCTGTTGCTTCCCTCTTCCCAGCCTCCATTTCCTCGTCACCGTGTACTCTGCAGCTGTGGGATTAATGAAATCTCATCTTGTTGTTATTCCCTCCTTACAGAAAAACTCTGCTTTGAGTTGGACTATGAGCCAGGTGAGCAGCCCACTTTAGAATGGGGAGACTAGGGAAGCTTCTGGATCCTGCACTGCGCACCAAAATACTTATATAGACATTCACACACGACACACTCACTCACACACACACACACATCTCTCTCACACACATCTCTCTCACACACACACAAACACACACACACATGCACCTCCCCTCTCTCACACACACCTCTCTCACATACACAAACCTCTCTCTCACACACACACACACCTCTCTCTCACACACACACCTCTCTCTCACACACACACAAACACACACACGCACCTCCCCTCTCTCACACACACACTTACCCCCCTCTCTCTCTCACACACACACACACACACACACACACGCACACGCACGTGTGTGCGCACGCAAGCATACAAACACACCCATATCCATAGATTCCACCTTCAACCCTCCATAGAAAAACACTGCTTTGTATTGAATGTGGTGAGATTTTCCCCCCTTGTCATTACTCCTTAAATAGTGTAGTATAACAACTATCCCCATAGCATTTACATTGTATTACATAACATGAGCAACCTAAAGATGATATGACGTGCTTGGGAGGGTATGTGTAGTGCATATGCAAATGATACGCCATTCTACGTAAAATACTTGAGCTCTGGTGAAGTTTAGTATGTAAGGGGGTTGTGGAAACGATACCTCACAGATACTGAGGCGTGACTGTATAAGGCCCCTAGGAGAGCCATGAAGGGAGAACAGGCACACACATGTTCCTGATAAATCTGGTCTCCAGATCAGCACATCTACAGTGGGCAGAATGATTAGACCAAAAAAAAAAAAAAAAAAAGATATGACCTATCTAAATGAGGGGAATTTTTATCTGTTTAAAGTCAACATCCTCAGAATTGTCAGAAACCTCTACTCCCTCTGAGATGTTAGTTTTTCAATTATAGAAGCAGAGCCAAGAATGAACAGAAAGAACCCCTTTAACGCTATTAGTTCCCATCGGCCAGCCAAAGACCCAGGAGAGTTGTGGGACTGTTAGGAGGCGCTCCCTCACCTGTGGATAAGTCTGCATATATAGGTTTTCTCTGTCTAGATTTTTTGTTTGTTTGTTTGTTTTTAGGCAGGGTCTCACTATGTAGCGTTGACTGTCCTGGCATTCACTATGTAGACCAGGCTGACCCCAGACTCACAGAGATCCGTCTGTCTCTGCTGCCCAACTTCCTTCAGTTCAGAAATGTTACACATAGCAATATCCAGGGAGAATTGGGGGCTCTAAAACGTGATGGCCAGAGTCCAACAGTTTAGAACGATTGGAGGAGAGAGAGAGTACATAACCCCAGGGTGACGAGGAGGGGAAAGTTGTACGGATGAGTCATGGTAGCCTCAGCCAAAGCAGGGAAGAAACTCTAGGTTGGGATCCAAGGGAGGAAAATGTCTGAAAATGTCTGCCTCTGAGAAAAAGAGACTGAAGGAGAGACTGTGGATGGAGACTGTGTGAGGAAGGCTGTGTGGGAGGGGAGGCTGAGTGTGAGAGGAGACGGCTGTGTGGGGGACATACTATGCTTGGGGAAGACTCGTGTGAAGATGGTATGTATGGGAAGAGGCAGGGTATGTGTAAAGGGGTTGTATACGAGCAAGGCTGTGTGTGAAGAAATGTTGTGTGTGAGGGAGGCTGTGTGTGAAGAAATGTTGTGTGTGAGGGAGGCTGTGTGTGAAGAAAATGTGTGGGGGAGACTGTGTGTGAAGAAATGTTGTGTGTGAGGGAGACTGTGTGTGAAGAAATGTTGTGTGTGAGGGAGGCTGTGTGTGAAGAAATGTTGTGTGTGAGCGAGGCTGTGTGTGAAGAAATGTTGTGTGTGAGCGAGGCTGTGTGTGAAGAAATGTTGTGTGTGAGCGAGGCTGTGTGTGAAGAAATGTTGTGTGTGAGGGAGGCTGTGTGTGAAGAAATGTTGTGTGTGAGTGAGGCTGTGTGTGAAGAAATGTGTGAGGGAGACTGTGTGTGAAGAAATGTTGTGTGTGAGGGAGGCTGTGTGTGAAGAAATGTTGTGTGTGAGGGAGGCTGTGTGTGAAGAAATGTGTGTGAGCGAGGCTGTGTGTGAAGAAATGTGTGAGGGAGACTGTGTGTGAAGAAATGTTGTGTGTGAGGGAGGCTGTGTGTGAAGAAATGTTGTGTGTGAGGGAGGCTGTGTGTGAAGAAATGTGTGTGAGCGAGGCTGTGTGTGAAGAAATGTGTGAGGGAGACTGTGTGTGAAGAAATGTGTGTGAGGGAGGCTGTGTGTGAAGAAATGTGTGAGGGAGACTGTGTGTGAAGAAATGTGTGTGAGCGAGGCTGTGTGTGAAGAAATGTGTGAGGGAGACTGTGTGTGAAGAAATGTGTGTGAGGGAGGCTGTGTGTGAAGAAATGTGTGAGGGAGGCTGTGTGTGAAGAAATGTGTGAGGGAGACTGTGTGTGAAGAAATGTGTGTGAGGGAGGCTGTGTGTGAAGAAATGTGTGTGAGCGAGGCTGTGTGTGAAGAAATGTGTGAGGGAGACTGTGTGTGAAGAAATGTGTGTGAGGGAGGCTGTGTGTGAAGAAATGTGTGAGGGAGACTGTGTGTGAAGAAATGTGTGTGAGGGAGGCTGTGTGTGAAGAAATGTTGTGTGTGAGGGAGGCTGTGTGTGAAGAAATGTTGTGTGTGAGGGAGGCTGTGTGTGAAGAAATGTTGTGTGTGAGCGAGGCTGTGTGTGAAGAAATGTTGTGTGTGAGCGAGGCTGTGTGTGAAGAAATGTTGTGTGTGAGGGAGGCTGTGTGTGAAGAAATGTGTGTGAGTGAGGCTGTGTGTGAAGAAATGTGTGTGAGGGAGGCTGTGTGTGAAGAAATGTTGTGTGTGAGGGAGGCTGTGTGTGAAGAAATGTGTGAGGGAGACTGTGTGTGAAGAAATGTTGTGTGTGAGGGAGGCTGTGTGTGAAGAAATGTTGTGTGTGAGGGAGGCTGCGTGTGAAGGGTACTTATATGAGGGAATACTGTGTGTGAGGGAGACTGGTTGTTTATGGGAGCTGTGCGTGAATGCCAGCGTGTAACGAAGCTGTCAAATGGCCATGTACAACAAGGTACCTGTGTGTGAGCGTGCCTTGCGTGAGGAGGCCGTGTGTGGAGGGAACGGGGTGCAAAGGTAGTTGTGTGAGCAGGGCTGTGCACAGGAGAGGCTGTGACTGAGTGGGAGGAGGCTGTCATCAGGAGGGTCGTATGAGGGAGAAGCTGTCGGTGAGGGCATCCGTGATGCGTGAGGAAGGGTGTGAAGAGAAGCTTGTGTGTGAGGTGTGTTGATGTGTGAAGTAACACTGAGGGGAGAAGCTGCTTGAGGCCGGCCTTGGGTGAGGGACGGAGTGTGCGAGGGGCTTCGGGAAGGTGTCTGTATGCGGGGCTGCCTGTGTGTGAGAAGACCATATGGGAGGGGAGGCTGTGACAGTGGCTGTGAGAGCGGCGACGGCTCTGTGTGAGGGAGGTCGCACCTAAAGGAGTCTGGGTGTGAGAGGAGACTCTGTGAAGGGGAGGGGGACGCGCCTGCAGCTGTACGGTTGGCTGTGTGAGTGAGGCCGGTATGAGGCTGGCTGTGTATACGCGGGAAGGTGTGTGTGTGTGTGTGTGTGTGTGTGTGTGTGTGTGTGTGTGTGTGTGTGGCGTTGGCTGGGAGTTGGGAGAGGAAGTGTGAGAGAGGATTTGTGAGGAGGACATACGTGAAAGTGTCTGTGTGCCCCTATACAAAGAAGTTGTACCTGGGGGGAAGTTATGGATCTAGGGGGACAGGTGTAAGGTGGGGTCGTGTATGAGGAGGCAGTTTGTGAGGGTGCCCACGCGTGGGAGGCAGGTCCTGTGTCAGGGAACCCCTTTTTTCTCCACCCACAGGAGACTCGCCATGACCTGTATATATAGCTTTCTAGAGGGCGTGGGCAGGCAAGCGAGGGCAGCGTGCTCTTTGTGACTGGCTTTTCTCGCTCTAATGTTTACATGCATCCCCTGGGCATACTTTTAGGATGTGGACCTTTAGCCTGTGGGTCTAACCGGTTCCTCGGTGATGCCCGTGCTCTGGTTTAAACACACGGATGGTTCAACACCAGCGGGCAGGCATGGAAGCCGGCGTTTAGGCCGTCCCAGTAAGACGTAAAAGCGCATCTGCTGACATAACCCGTTCCTTGTTCCACCCCACAGCCCACGTTGCTCTAGACCCCCAGACTTCCCACCCCAAGCTCCTCCTGTCTGAGGATCACCAGAGGGCTCGGTTCTCCTACAAGTGGCAGAATTCACCGGACACCCCGCAGCGTTTCGATCGAGCCACCTGTGTCCTGGCTCGGCGCGGCTTTACAGGAGGGAGGCACACGTGGGCGGTGAATGTGGACTTGGCCCACGGGGGCAGCTGCACCGTGGGTGTGGTGAGGGGGGACGTACGACGGAAAGGAGAGCTGCGGCTGAGGCCAGAGGAAGGCGTCTGGGCCGTGAGACTGGCCTGGGGCTTCGTCTCAGCTCTGGGTCCCTTCCCCACGAGGCTGGCCCTAGAGCAGCAACCCCGGAAGGTGCAGGTGTCTCTTGACTATGAGGTGGGCTGGGTGACCTTTGTCAATGCCGTCACCCAGGAGCATATCTATACCTTCACGGCCTCCTTCACTCGGGAGGTCTTCCCCTTGTTTGGACTCTGGGGCAGGGGGTCTAGCTTTTCCCTCAACTGTCAAGGAGGGGAAGTTCCCCTCCTCTGAGTGTTAGGCTAGAATCAAGCACCCTGGGGGGCTGACCCTTGGCTGGGTCAACAGGCACACACACACACACACACACACACACACACACACACAATTACTTTTTAGACAATTGGGATAGCATGTGTCAATAAGAGACAAGGCCGTAGGCCTTTCTCCAGTGCTCATCCGATGGTCAGGGTATCCGGGACCTTGGCTGCAGCTGGCTGTTCCCGCCATTATCGCCAATGGGCACAGACATATGTATACAAACAGTGCTGGATTGTAAGCCTTAAGACCTGAGTTCCTGCCGGGCGTTGGTGGCGCACGCCTTTAATCCCAGCTCTCGGGAGGCAGAGGCAGGCGGATCTCTGTGAGTTCGAGAACAGCCTGGACTACCAAGCGAGTTCCAGGACAGCCTCCAAAGCCAAAGCCACAGAGAAACCCTGTCTCGAAAAACCAAAAGAAAAAAAAAAAAAAAAAAAAAAGACCTGGGTTCCTGGAGAAGTCCTGCAATCAACCAGCTGCATGATTTCAAGCAAAACCCTTCATTTTGTTTTCTTGTACATTTTGGTTGTAAGCCTAGCCTTTGATGGCTGAGCTATCCCTCCAGCCCCCTTCAGTTTGTTTTCCTCCAAAAAAAAAAAAAAACCAACTAGTTAATTTATTCACATCTTCAAGAAACATTTTGGCGGAGTGGACGTGAGCAAAAAGCACTGCACACATACACGAGCGAACTTCTGAAAGCGCAAATGGAGATGTTATTTGATAAAGGGGCATCCTCTTTCTTCGACCGTCATGTGCCACACGCCTGACTGACGCGGCTTCTCACCGCGTCTTCCCACACAGCTCTCAGGACCAGTGTCTGCCTCCGTTTCCGCCACCTCCAAGCCAACCGACACCGGGCAGTGGGCTGAGCTGCTGAGCCTGCAGGAGGTAGATGAGTGTCCCTAGGATCATGTGGAGGTTGATGAGCTGGGCAGAGTGTTGATACCCACCCACCTAGGCCCAGTGCATTTCATGGGATGGCCTTGACCCGGGGAAATTCTACACCTTGGTCCTCACAGACCCAGATGGCCCCGTCACAGGGAGTGGCACCGTCTTCTACTGGCACTGGCCAAGGCTGCTACATCTGGCTGGTGTTACCAAGCAGGACAAGCCACCAAAGAGTGACAAACCCATCTTCAGCAACAGGCCTGAAGATGACAGTGGTGAGTCCAAGGTGGCAGTCTTCCACAAGAAGGATCCCCTGGGATCCCCTATGGCTGGCATATCTTACCAACCAGAAGGGGATGGCTAGGTGTGCAAGCTGTAGTAGCAGCTGTCTGGGAAGTAGGGGTGCTACGGAGGCCAGTGGTCCTGGAGGCCCCTCACAGTATTGTCACGTTGTGCACAGCACGCTGTTTCTCCTCCTCCTTTCCTACCTCGTCACGGGGAGAGCAAAGGGCTAGTGCCATCTATAACTGGTTTAACAAGGAGAGATTCTGAGTTCAGAGCCAGCATAGTCAATCTTTGGAGATGTGTTTTTCTTGTCCTCAGTGAGACCTGTGTGAGCAAAGCTCTTTGGGGCTGCTGGATGTGTTGCCCGATTGTTCAACATCAAATTAAAAATAAAAACCATTGGGTTTAATTTTTTTTTAAAGGACTTTCGGGATGGAGTGATTTCTGGCAAGAAACAAAAGCAAAATTGCCTGTCTTAGTAGTTACTTTTCTATTGCAATGATAAGACACTATGACCAAGGTAGCTTATGGAGAAAGAGTTTATTTGTGGCTTACACTTTCAGAGACTGAGACCATCATGGTAGAGAGCCTGGAGCAGTAGGTGAGAGATTGTATTTTGATCCACAAGCATGAGATGGAGGGAGCTAACCGGGAATGATGTGGACTTTTTAAAACCCACGCACCTCCTCCAGCAAAGTCGCACCTCCTAATCCTTCCCAAACAGTTCCACTAGCTGGCAGAAAGTTTTTATTTTAACCTTTGGAGTTTTGGTCATGTTTACTTGGGGATCCTTGCTTGCTTTTATCTGTTCCAAAATGGCTAGCTCGTTGGTTCTGTAATAAAATATGTGGAACATTCCTAAAGGAGAAGAAAAAGAAACATTTTTTTCCTGTGCTAGCAATGAAAAATCATGCTAGCCCTGGCACTTTGAGAATAACATGAAGGAGCGCTGGGAAGACAGTGAAGAAAAGACAAAACCTCCACACCATGTGGTGGTGGTTGTGATCCGGATCTGCCTAGGCATTGTGGGTACTTAGAGGAGGGGACGCTGCCTTGTCTTCAGGGAGGATACGATACCAGGATGGTCTTTTAAAAGATGTGCATGGTGAGAGAGGAAAGGAGGGAGAAAGGGGAAGAGGGAAAGCTGTCTCACCAAGTGTTTGACCTTCCTCGGACGCTGGGTCATCTCCCCGTCCTTGTGGACAGACATGTACCATCTCCATCCGGTTCCACTCACTGCCTTCTCCTGGTGGCATCGGTTTTAGGTGAGGTGAAGGTCAGTCTGGGAGGAGATACTGTTTTGTTGGAAGACATTGCCGGCTGGTCGGAGGTCGTGGCCTCCCCAAGGCCTGCCTGGTGGCTTATCTCAATAAGCTCGGCAACAAGGAGCTCCCTTCCTTCAGCAGAACTTCCTGCCTCTACCTGCCCTTGTCTGGAGGATGTTCCTGGGCCTGGAGGACTGACCTTATCTAAAAGCTGTCTCTAAAACCGGATACCCAATTCATCTTTAGTCTGACCCCTGGCATAGATCCCTGCTCTAGGGGCTCTGCTATAGGACCCTACTGCCACACACTAAGCCTTGTGATAGGAACTTGCCACTCAATGCAAATTAGGGTTTGTCTCCAGACTCCTCAATCCTATATATTCCTAATACTCTGGAAAAACGAGCTGATTCACCAAAATCTGTCTCCTGGAGGGCTATCTCCGTTGGTGCTCGTGGGCCAAGCACAACGCTTTCTGTCACCCCTTCTGTCTCTTTCCCAACAGGCCAAGAGGGAAGAGGACCCCTAGGGTGGTTAGGCCATAAACCATAATCCAAGGACTACACTCACCCCCTGGGGAAGCCGTCTCCCTGATCAGCTGGCTACCAGCTGAAATTAAAAAGGAGATGATGGAAGAGAATTACTCACAAATAGCTCAGTTGGCGGAACAGGAATAGCATCATCCGCACTCTTGCGATGGGGTAAGAGGATCCCAGGAGGATGCTAAGGGATATTTGGATGGCCTGTCACCTTTAGACTAACAAGTTGAGATATACTAGGACTGGACAAAAGGTGACCTCTGTGGGATGAGGGAGGACAGGGGAAGAGTGGGGACTAAAGATAAAAACTGATCTGAAGTGGAGAATTCTGTGGGCTACAGGAAGCTGGGTAGAGGTGGAATCCTGTGGTCATGTAGGGTCTGGATAACTCCAGAAACGTCCCTGCTTGGAAATTATTTGGGAGGCAGGCTGGCAACTAATGGTGGGTGCCTACAACTTGGAAAATATATCCGTCATCTCAAAATGATATTTTAAGTTTTATGCATTATAAAAACATTTTTCCTTAACTTTACAGAGTGGCTATGATGAATTTTCTAGACTTTATTGGGTCTGCACTTCATCTATCTATCTAAACCTGCCCTTTGGTGACAATTTATTTAACATTCTTGCTGTATATTCTACTCAGTCATAAACTGCATCTGTGAGGAGACAAATCAGCCATGGCGCAATTCTACTGGAGAGACCATCAGGAGCCTTGGGCCCATGCTTGGAATTGTCTTCAAAGGCTGGTGTCTCTCTTCCACACAGCAGAGAGAAAAGACCTTGCAGTTAGGGGCAAGAGATCAGAAGGTATTGAGTGAATTTCTCTAGAATGTTCAATATTCCTTATAAAATATATGTTTGAAAAATAAGGGTATGAACAAGTGTCTATGTAATGATAAAACGTACATACAGGCCCTAAGCCTCGTATTCCACTAGAAAATGGACTATATTTTTCTGTTTCTTTGTACTGGTTTTACTTGAGTTTAAAACAACCACGAACCTCTCCAGGTAGTGGTGGCACATAACTTTAATCCCAGCACTCAAGAGGCAGAGGCAGGCAGATATCTGTGAGATCGAGACCAGCCTGGTCTACAGAGTGAATTCCAGGACAGGCTCCAAAGCTATACAGAGAAACCCTGTCTTGAAAAACAAAACAAAATTAAAAAAGAAGAGGAAAGAAAAAAGAAACCAACCAACCAAAAACCAAACATGAACCTCTAAGGTATATGTATATGATATGAAGTTCCCTTCCTGCTATAAGGCATCATGTCCCTTATGGTATTTATTTTGGTAACTCTATGAAATATATTTTATTATCATCCTCTTTTTTCTGTTTTTATGCATACTTTGTATACGTGTGGGTACAGATGTGTATGGTTTCACATATGTACACATATGGGTGCATGCATGTGGGGCCTGGGGTTGACGTCAGATGTCTTTTTCAATCATTCTCCACTTTATTTGGTAGGGTCTCTTGCTGAACTCAGAGCTCGCCAGTTCTTGTTAGACCAGCTATCTAGTTGGTTTGGGGGTTCTGACTTTTCCCTGAAAAGTGTTGAGATTATAGGTGGCTACTCAGTTTTTACATGTGTTGTGGGGATCCAAACTCCAGTCTTCATGCTCACACAGCAAGCATTTGATGTGCCATCTCCCTGGCTCACACAGCAGCAAGATGAACCATCTCCCTGGTTTTTGTTATACCCTGCTCAGCATGAAGGAGACAGCTGTGTGTGGCAGTGCAATCATGTCTCAGTAGGTAGAAGCAGGAAGATCAGGAATTCAAGGTCAGCCTCTGCTACACAGTGAGACAGAAAATTTGATGCCAGCCTGAGCTGCATTAATCTCTGTTGAAAGGGAGAGAGGACAAAAGGTGTGGGGGTAAGGGGGTAGCCAATGAGAAAGAGGAGAAGGGCAGACTTGAGACCTGGTGAAATTTGGTTTTTGTTTTTGTTTTTTTTTCTGCTCATTTAAGATCAAACAGCCAGGGCTTTACAATCCCTGTCTGACTTCCGAGCTCTTGCACTCCATTCCAAACTGTTTTGTTTGGAAACTGGTGGTTGTGTGGCCCAGGCGAGTGTTTTGATGCCAACTCTACACACTACAAGTGACTGCCATTCTGATAGATAATCTGTATCTCTTAAACCGAGAAGTAAAACTGCAAGTGAGTGAAGGTACTCCTTTTTAACCCATCAGTGTATGCCCCTCCCTAGGGCACTGTACAACTTACTGCCTTTTAAAGGGGGTAGATTTGATGACCTACCAGTGGGGTGACCAGTGAACCTCCAGGCTGTTCTTGCTGGAGTCAGACTCCATTTGCTTTCCCCCCTGAAGAGCCATATCTGCATAAAAGCTCCAGGCTCCCAATTCCTCTTTACCAGACCCCAGAGAAGAGTCACACACACACACACACACACACACACACACACACACACACACACACACACACACACACACTTTACCTGACACCCACAGGTTTAGCCCCTGACCTTGTAAAACCTTTGCCTTGCAAAGAAGAGAGACTCATCTTGGTTAGTTTAAATAGGAAAGTTTATTATAAGAACGCATGTAGAAATAAGAAAAAAAAAGAATTCTCCTACCATTTCTCAGGCATTTTGGAAACTATGGAAGAGGGAGGGTTAAGAAGTTAAGACATTACCAGTTCCCAGAAGGAGGATTTACATCCAGTTTTGCTCACTGTGTTGGCAGAATTCTTTCTCTTACAACCATAAGACCCCCTGATTCCTGTCAGCTGGAAGGTGTAGGCTGCTCTAAGAAATTAGGAGCTGCCCACGTATCTTTCCCCCTCAGCACCACTAACTTTATCAAGAGGAGTCTCTAGAATGCATCTATTAGTAAGAGACCAGTGGAAGGAGACATGGCCACTTCAGTGACCTTAATCGCCTCTGCTAAATTCCTTTGATGAGAAGCGTGTCACAGGCACCACTAATTTGTCACACTCGGGCGACCAAGTTACAGGAGTACATGACCATGAGGACTGTGGTAATCACCCTTGAGTCTGTCTGCAACAGTCACAATGAATGGACTACGTGGGCAGTGCAGACAGGAGGTTCTATCAGAGTCGGAAGACATTTTCACTCCAATAAACCTGCCCGGCTCCATGCGCTAAGGTGGCCAGATGCTTTGATGCTCACATGAGACCACGGACAGTAGGTGCTATCACCAGCTCACAGGTGATATGGAGATTGCACAGATGGCCCTGGAAGCAATGGAGATCTGAAATGCCCAGCCACAAGGAGCCACACGCTCAAGTATAGCTTAAGAAGGAGACTGTGTCCACGTGTCAGGGGCTAGGGCATCAGATGAGAGCTGTGGGGATGAGAACGCAACCGGGAGAACTAGCTGGGGCTTGGATTGGCTGCAGGAAGATGAGAGAGGGGTCCTTCTAATTTCTGTGGCGCAGTCCTAAAAAACAAAGAAATCATTTGTAAATTCACACATACGCTACTGAATCTTCCACTGCCCATGTAGTATGCAAGTACCAAGTATGTCGCCTTGACTTTAATTTAGCCCATATACACGTCTATGTCATGTGGGTCTGCACGTGTCTTCCGGTGTGGGGCAGAGGGTGAGGGAGTCATACCTGTCCAGTAAGTCACTGGCATCCTGGGAGAGAAAGGGTGACAAATCACAGTCAGTTACTATGTTCTTGACGTTGAATGCCCTTCCTGGCTCCTGCTTGAAGGCCACTCCGGCTGCCACCATGAGAGCTGTTGTATCATGGTGTGGCCCTGTAGAAGGCACACTACACACACACACACACACACACACACACACACACACACACACACTGAAATCCTCACATATCCCAGGAGTGCCCTTCCTAACACCTCCCATGAGGGACCTGCAGGCAGGAAAGAATCTCTCCCTGAAGCACCTTCAGAGTGCTGGCATCCAGTTCCCTGGCCATCCTTTCCAGGTCAGAAGCCAGGATGCTGAGCCGTGTTACCGCCTCAGAGATGCTGAAGATCTTAGCCACCTCTGCTTGTAGGTCCTCTTGTTGGTCCAGCCAACTCTGAGGCAGGGCCTTCAGCTGTTCCTCAGCTTGGTCTTGATTCCGCAGCCCAGCTCTTAGCCCGTGGCTCCCCCAATCCACTTGATTTGGCAGCCCGCGGCTCCCCCAATCCACCTGAAACCACAGAAGATTTGATGATAGAGCCCCTGTCTCTCTATGCACTTAGCAGCCACGTGGGAATACTCACCTCCACTCCTCTTCCTTCACGTCTTACCTCACCAGCCACTGGACTCTACACGAAGCTCCTCCCTCCCCGCCTCATAATTCCAAGCACATCTACAGATACTGTGTCCTGCCATAGTAGAACACACACACACACACACCTGTGCATGCATGCCCACCACTCAGCTGCGTTCTTTTGATGTCAGCTTTTAACTTTGTGAGGAGAAAGCTTGCCCAGGTGAGTGGGAGGGATAGAAAACTGATTGTCAAGGACAAGATGTGTAGTCATTTTTCAGCTATCTATTTTGTTTATTCTCACTATGTACTCAGGAGAATACGGGTTTTTCCTTAAGAAAAAAGATGTATGGAGGTCAGAAGGTTCAAGTGCCCCCAAGCTGTTCTGTTCGGAGCCAAGCCCAAAACCCAGGTTTTCAGCCCACAGGACCATAATCCCACAACAGGCTGCTCCAAGGACAAGAAGTTGTCCGCAACAAAAAGGAGAGGTGCTTCAGGACTCTAGACATCCCTGGGACTCACACTCACCTGCAGAGCCTGCAACTTCTCTTCTTTCTGAGCCTTAAGCCGTTGAAGGTCCCCCAGGTCCTTTCTGAGCTTCCTGCTTCTGCGGATGAGTCTTTCCTAGGCACAGACACAGCTTTTGTCAGACTGGAGGGTGAGGCAGTATTCCAGGGAATCCACAGCTGGTCCTTGAGTAAGAATACAAAAACAAACAAACAAAAAGCCACCAAGACCAGGCATGACCCTGTTCACCTTTAACCTTAGCAGTCAGGAGGCAGAGGCAACTGGACCTCTGGGTTTGAGGCCAGCCTGGTCTATACAGTGAGTTCGTGGTCAGCCAGGACTATGTATTGAGACCCTGTTTCAAAAACCAAAACAAAGGAAATTGGGGGGGGGGGAAGAGCGGTTGCTGGCCTTCAGGAGACCTGAGCTCTGTTCTCAGCACCCATGCTGGGAGCTCACAACTGATGTACCTCCAGTTTCAGGGAACCCAGCACCCTCCTCTTTTCTGACTTTCAAGGATACACACACACACACACACACACACACACACACACACCTTTTCAAAAGAAAACAAACATAATCAATGTCAGTAACTCTAAATGCACAAGATAAGATTGAGACAACGCAGGTGTTTCATTTACCATGTTTAAAATGAGTAAGACACACTCCTTTGTTTTTATAAACATATTTAAAGATTCATATTTATTTTAAATTATATATATGAGTGTGTGTTTATGTGTGAATATGTACACACGTGTGGGTACCCAAGGAGCCCAGAAGAGGCACCAGATCCTATGGAGACAGAATTACAGGTAGTTTTGAGCTGCCTGGTATGGGTACTGAGAGTCAAACTTAAGTCTTCTGATGGAGCAATATTCCTTTTAACCACTAAATCGCCAAGCCCTTTGTGATTGTGTGTGTGTGTGTCTGTGTGTGTGTCTGTGTGTGTGTGTGTGTGTCCTTGTTGTTGCTGCTGCTGTTGTTTTGTTTCAGGATTTCACTACACAGCCCAAACTGGTCTAGGATTCAGAGATCAGCCTGCCTCTGCCTCCAAGTGCTGGGGCCAAAGGTGTGTGCCAGCACACCCGGCCCTAAACCATTACGTCGTATGCTAACATGAAAAGGTAATTAGAGCCATTTAAAACAAGCCCTGATTATAAATTCTCCGAATGCAACAGGACTTCTCTGGACTTGGACACTCCGTCTACTCCCCACACCCAGTCTTTGTCCTGGTGCAACTTCGATGTCATTTCCCATTAGGCCTTGGCTGATCGCATTAAGAAGAGTCACCCTGCTGGCATAGTTTGTCATCAATTCCTTTGTGTACCAGACACTAACTGTCTTCCTTGTAATGAACAAAGATATTCTTATTTATTTTTCTACACTTCCTCTTATTACTTAAATATGGACTTGAAGTCAGTAGTCATGAATCACCTTTGTACTTCCTCCCGATGCCTGGTGTGACACCTTACAGAAGGTACAGACCTGAGTCAGTCACTCAAGGACGGACGAGACCTGTCTCCTCACACCTGACTCATGGCAGCGGGAAGCCCCATCCCCGCTACTGTAGACTCTGCACTTAGTAGGTACAGAACTCGGTAGAACATTGCCCTTTAAGCTCTCTGAATCATTCTCTACATTCAGCTCCAATTTAGGCTTCCTCGTTTTGTCACTGCAGATTGTGACAGTGTTCTTGGAAGGCCAACTGTCTGAAAGACGTTGGGAATTTACCCTTCAGGGCTGAGGAAGTAGTAGTTCAGCGATAGAATGTTTGTCTGGCATTTATGAGGTCCTGGGTTTAAACCCTGACACAACAAAAGAAAAAAATAGAGAAAGGAAATTCCGGCTTCATTATTGATAAGAAGATCTGACAGGGAAGCAGGTACAGGGCAGTCAGGCAAGGGGGATCGTGTTTGGCTTCCTCCATGGCATCCCTGAAGCTACGGGTGCTTAAACTTTGTACCTGCCCAGCAACAGTAATTCTCACTCATGGACATTAATACACAGATCTGGCTAAGAGCAGAGATAGATGGAGGCCAAATGACTGCCAACTCACTCATTGATTTCAAAGCGGAGGGGTGTTACAGAGTGGGATCCTGGGGATGAGGGTGTAACCACAGTGTGAAGCTATCAGGATAGGATGAGAGAGGCCCCTCCACAGGAGACTTTGAAATGGCTAGAACTCATTTCAAGGGCATGACATCATGAGGAAACCTCAGAATTGTTCCGTTTTAACACCCCCAGATGACACGAGTTTCTCTAGCAGATTAACTGGTGTACAAGCTGTGCCTTTGACTCATTAATCTTTGGGACAACTGGCAAGAAGTTTTGGGCAAGGGGAAAACAGAAAAGTAAGAAAGGCTAAATGTGGTACCATATATCTGTAATTCCAGCACTTAGCAGGCTAAGGCAGGAGGATTGCCATCAGTTACAGACTAACCAGGACAATCCTGTCTCAAGAAACACAAACAATGGGGCTGAAGAGATGACTCCGTGTTTAAGAGCACCGGCGGGTCCTGCAGAGGACCTGAAACCCACAGGGCAGCTCACAACTGTCTGTAACTCCAGTTCCAGGGATTCTGGTGACCTCTTCAGGCCTCCTCTGGTACCGTGCATGTGGTGCGCATTTATACACGCAGGCAAAATGCACATATAACAGAATTAAGTTAAACTTTAAGAGAAAAAAGCAACACCTGTCCAAAAGAGGAAAAAAACAACAAGGCCTGCCCATATTGCAAATGTACAGTTCTTAAAATGGTTTAACACGGTGAGTCTGGTGGTGTATGCCTAAGATCTTAGTTACTCTGGGGGGCTTGCAGCATGGGAGTCAAAAGTAAGATTAGGTCTCAAAATAAGAAGTAAAAAGAAGACTGTATATTTAGCATAGCACGATTGCCTTGCATGTGCAAGACCCTAGGTTCAGTCTTTATCCTTAGTACTATGGGAGGTGGAAGGGGGAGGGGAAGGGGGAGTGGGGAAGGAAAAGGGAGGGGGGAGGAAGAAGCGGGAAGGGGGAAGAAAGGAAGGAGGAAGATGAGAAGGAAGAGGAGGAGGTTTGGCACATAGGCAGGAGCATTCAGACTGGTAGAACAGAGCAGGATCTACATGGAACATTCAATGATAGTGGGGACAATTTGCTATAATTTGGAAAAGTTAAAGTTAGTTTTCTATCTTATATTTTTCACCAAAATATCTTGGCTTTTGTTTGTTTGTTTGTTTGGTCTTTTGTTTTTCGAGACAGGGTTTCTCTGTATTGTTTTTTGGAGGCTGTCCTGGAACTCGCTCTGTAGACCTCGAACTCACAGAGATCTGCCTGCCTCTGCCTCCCGAGTGCTGGGATTAAAGGCGTACGCCACCAACGCCCGGCCAATATCTTGGATGTTTTAACTTCTCCAAAACACGTGCTGAAAGTTCTTCATCATAACATCCTGTGTAACCTAAAATCAGTCACCCGTGAAAAACTTTTTCCTAACTTTGATTTATTCACAGAACTGGACAGGATGCAGTTGTTGGGAGATGTACAAGAGATCTTGATGCATCGATGGGGAAAACGTCCAGAACATATTTTAGAGGATTAAAAACAGGATATATAGTAAAAACAGCTCAGCTCAGTGGGTAAAGGCATTTGCCACCAACATTGGCGGCCCACTTGGTAAAGGGAGAGAGCTGACTCTGCAAAGTCATCCTCTGACCTCCATACACACGCCGTGGCACACCGGTCACCACCTCATGTGTACACACAATGGTAGATAAGTGAACAGAGTCCCCTAAGCATTCACTGTCATTTTATTTTTTGAAGTACTGGGGATTGGATTCTTGGCTTCATTTATGCCACGTTACAACTCTAGTGTCTGTCTCTGATTCTGTGTCTGTCTGTCTCTGTGTGTGTGTGTCTGTCTGTCTCTCTGTGTGTGTCTGTCTGTCTTGCACGCGCACACGCTCGCGCGCGGACAAATGTGTGTGTGTATTTTAAAGAGAACATTCAAACACACAGTTTTTCTGGAAGGACAGATTAATAGAAATGTAATTCTGGTTATCCCTGAAGACTAAGAATGAGGAAGGACAGGAAAAAAGGGTCATTATTGTTTATTTGAGAGGGGGCACACACCATGGAGTTTGTGTGGAGGTAAGTGGACACTTGGTGGAAGTCATTTCCATCCTTCCATCACGTGGGTTCCAGAGACTGAACTCAGAATAAAGCTTTTTGACAAGCTCCTTTACCCTCAACTGTCTCATGTCCCAGAGGCAATATTTTTAATTTTGCTACTTAATCTTCAGGTGTTGCCTAAATTTGTTACCCAAAGTGTGAAGCATTTTTAGAAATAAATCAAGAAGCAATAACGATAATCAATAAAGGAAGGAAAGGGGGAAACAGGACATCATGTACAAGTTCTCAGATTTAAAATCTTTGAAAGGTAACTGTTACCACAGATGAATCCTGATCGCATGTCTAGACTAGGTTTTAGAACTATCCACCAGGGAACTATATAATCTTAGTTCAGAAGTGGTTCTCATTGTCTACTGAAGAATCTGGGACTTTGCCATCATAATGGCAGAATCACCTAGATAGACACACAGCAACTTGGAAATCCTGATATTAGCCATGAGGCATACAGAAAGCAAAGACCAGGGCTCCAAGTTGGAGGGTGTCAGTCACTAAGCCTCTGTGAGGAGCCAAGCTTAAAAGCAGTGACTCGTGGAGCCGGTGGCAGGGGCTAGTGGGGGTGACACAGCCTTACCTTGTAGTGGCTGATGGCACTTTCAATGGAGAGCTCAGTATGAGACTGGTGTTCAGGGCACTGGAGGCATTCCACACACAGGAGATGTCTGCTTGCCTCACAGAACCTGCACACCCTCTTCTGGTGGCTGAAGCAGATGTAACCGTCTCCAAGGACTCCCTCGGAGCAGGGCTTCCTGCAGACTGGGCAGCTGAGGACCCCAGAGACGGAGGCCTTATCCACGTGCTGGGTCAGACACATCCGGCAGAAGAGGTGTCTGCAGTCCGTGCTCACAGCCTCCTTCAGGGGATCCAGGCAGATGGGACAAATGTCCTCCTGGTTGTCCTTGTACAGAGGAACCATGGCCCCCACCTCACCGGCCTCCACACTGGGTCATTTGAAGGCCAGCAGTCCCAGGTGAGAGGGCTCAGTGGAGTGGATCTGGAGTGGAATAGAGTGGGCTCAGGGCCGGGCTTCAGGTCCACCCTGGATCAGAGAGGCCAGAGCCTGGGCGGCTGCAAGAAACACAACCTGGCGGGAATTTCAGAAACAGGTCAGTGTTTTCTAAACGTAAGATTATTCTTTGCTTTTTCATGCATCTGGAGGACGCGGGTGAGCCAAACCCCAATTCTGTTTTGCGAGTTTTCTGTGGAGTCTTTTCACAGTTCAGAGCTAAACTTTGGGCCATGGTGTCATGGACAGAAGCAAGCTGTCAAGGACAGGCTGAGTCATCTGTGCTGTGTGTGGCTGCTGGGAAGAACTCAGCCAGAGTTTTATGTATCTCTCCTGAGCTGCCACCCTACAAGTGCCACTGTTATCATTTGATACCACCAGCCACCTTGTCAGCAAGTCTTCATTAGCCACCAAGTTTTCCAAGACTGCAGTAATGTCATGGTGAAAGAGAAAGAGAATGGAAGGGAGGGAGGGAGGGAGAGAGGGAGGGAGGGAGAGAGAAAGACACACACACACACACACACACAGAGAGAGAGAGACAGACAGACAGACAGAAGCAGACACAGACAGGGAGAGCATATAATATTTCAAACAACTTCCAAGAATGGCCCAAAGAAAGAAGTACCTCCTCCTCCTCCTCCTCTTCATCCCCAAAATAGCTCTATCCTACCTCAAATTTCTCCTTTTCAACTTCAGGTCATTTTCTTGGTCTCTAGACCTAGGGAGAAGGCCAGCAGATGAGCGGTTCTTCTTAAATTATGCCAGCTATATATACTCTCTTGTGTCAGTAAAGCTAGGAGGAAGGTGAGGAGAGCCGTCGCCTAATTTTAGCACTGAATTATCAGGAAAATGAAATATGCCCATGAGCTAGGCTCACTGGATAGTGACCTGGACTTTGCTGCAGGGCGTGGCATATTTGCTTACCGGGAAGAGGAAAGTCTTGGTGCCTTTAATGCAAATCTCACAGGACTTGAGACATGCCTCATAGGATGAGCCTCCCAAGAACCCCACACATGTGGGACCAGAAGTTCTGGGTGTTGTCACGGGACCACCACACCTGGGTGATGCTGGGGGCAGCCCACACCATTGTCCTTTACAGTCTTAGCTTCAACAGTGGAGAGGTACCTGGAGGATACCCACTAGGCATTTGTTTCTCTTCTCATTGTTGTGACCAAATACCTGACAAGTGATCTGAGGGAGGAAGGGGTTTATTCGGGCTCGCAGTTTGAGGTTACTGTCCATGGTGGTGAAGGCGTGGAGGCAGGAGTGGCTGGAAGCTATGGCAGCAGGAGCGTTAAGGCTGCTTGCTCACACCTGGGTGGATCATGAAGCTGAAAGAGACACCCGGTGGTGTCCAGCTGTCTTTCTCCACTTCTCCTTTTCAAGTCTGGGATCCCAGCTCATGGAACAAAGTTACCCACTTGAGGTAACGTTAGATCTTCTCTCCTCACTAAAGCCTCTCTGGGGACATCTTTATCGACACACCCAAAGGTAGTCCTATCCCCGCCTCCTTCTGATGGCTGCTGCCTACTCTGCATCAGGGAGGCAGGGCTGCATCTTTCCATCGTATAAGCCTAGCCTAGTGTTGAGTACCTTAAGCCCTCCTTCGATAATCTGCCGTCCTGTGAGGGAAATGTGAAAGGTATCAGAATACAGATGGAATGGATTTATGTCGCCCTAACAACGGTCACAGCAAGTGGCATTTCGGCTTTTGACTTCTGATCTTGCTGCCTCCACCTCCCAAGTTTAGATTACAGGCAAGACCCCCACCATGCCCGGGATGGAGTCCAGGGCTTCAAGTATTCCAGACAAGTACTCCACTACATTCCCAGCACCATTACTCAGATTTTTAAAAATTTTGCACTGACAATTATAAACAAATCCCCGTGCTATTTTATCAGTTTGCACGGACAGTGATGACTGACGCCTTGGATCGTTTAGTGGTTCCCCCCTTGGTTCTCTATGTTAGCTGATGGTTCTTTCTCACTTCCAACCATCCTGGGACTTTGACCCTGATGGGAGACAAGATGCTTCAAAGAGAGTCAGGGTATCCCTCCCATTGGCTACCAGACTAACAGACCCCAACGCACTAAAATTTTCACTGGAGCCTCACACCGGGGGAGGGAAAGGATGAAGCTTTGAGCCAGTCAGAAAAGGAGATTCACACAGCTCTGCCAGCCTTGCTGCCTATTAAATTAACATATGCACATTCCCTGACTGTTCTTCTTAGCTATAGAATTGTAAGAGTGCCTCCAAAAAGGTGGGAACTAAGAGAATTTCTTTCTCTGGTTTGGTTGAACTTAACGACGCCACTACTACCCTTTAAGAATTTCTGTTTCCTAATTCCTTTTCTGATACAGGGAAACTATTCCGCTAGAGGATTTAATCCTCCTGAGGACCGTACCACACTCCCTCCTGCTGCAGTGAAGTGAACTTCCAAGGCAGGCCCAGGTTCAGAACTCACTCCGCTTCTTGTAGTTCACCCAACACAGGGCCATGACGCCCCCTGGGCTCTGGTCCCATTTGATTTCTGTTTTGATCTTCTTACCAACTTTATATACGTGCACTCTTGGATGTCATCTCATCAACTCAAGTTCAGTGTACCTTCTAAATTATTCTAGCCGGAATTGCCTGAAACTCTACCCAAAATGAAGCAATTGAGTGGCTCCTTCAGCTAAATGGTGTGTGTGTGTGTGTGTGTGTGTGTGTGTGTGTGTGTGTGTGTGTGTGTGTGTGTCTTTAATTGGGGGCTTGCTTGCAGTTTCCGGGAGTGTTGTCCATAACCATTATGTCAGGGAACACGGCTGCAGGCAGGTAGGCATGGTACTGGAGAAGCAGCTTCGAGCTTATTTATGTGTCGAGACTACAGCCACAAGGCAGAGAGGGGACTCACCCAGAATAACAATGGCACGGGCTTTGAAACCCACAATGACATGCTTTCTCCAGCAATATTCTATGCAGACAGTAGGTGGTGCTGCCTCCCAGGATAGGACAGGACTTCGGACTATTATTGAAGGACTAGCAGCTGCTGCCACTGCCCTGTTCTTATTTATATTCTCTCTCTCTCTCTCTGTCTCTCTCTTTCTCTCTCTGTCTCTCTCTCTCTCTCACACACACACACACACACATTTTATTTATTTTCTTCTACATGTATGTATGTATTGCACTCTGTGCTTAATGCCCACAGAGGTCATAGAGGGTATCAGGGTATCAGATTCTCTGTATCTGGGGTTATAGGCGATTGTGGGTCACGTGGGTGCTGATACCCGAGCCTGTGTTCTCTGCTCCTATGCTGAGCCATTTCTCCAGGCTCCCAGGCTGTTTCTTTTAGAAACCGTGCCTGAAACTGAAGGGAAGGCTCAGCGAATTAAAAACGCTTGTCACATGAGTCTGATGACCTCAGTTCCGTCCCTAGAACACATGTTAAAAACTGGATGTGGTGGTGGCTCGGTGCCTATGTGCAATTCCAGCACTCCCCCAGGGAGAAGGGAGTCAGAAACTTTCAGTCTAGCTAGCCTGGGGTGCTCTGCACAGCAGAAAGAAGGGAGGCCCTGCCTCAACCTGGTGGAAAGTGAAAACAGATTCAGATCTCTCCTTGTCCCTGTGCTATGTATGCAATGGCATGGTCAGTACACACACACACACACACACACACACACAGAGAGAGAGAGAGAGAGAGAGAGAGAGAGAGAGAGAGAGAGAGAGAGAGAGAGAGAGAGAAGGAGAGAGCCGAAGAAAGGTAACCCTGAAATATATAGATGGGGAGAGAAAAGGTGGTTATAGAATAAAACTGACAGTAAACTGACAGTTTTCATTTAAGCCCACAGGAGAAGCACAAAGGGGGCAGAGGCAGAGAGACCAAGGAAGGAAGTGTCCCTGTGAGAAATCCTCTCTGCTCTGTAATTGTGTCCTTTGACGAAACCTATCCTCTACCCAGGATGCTAATACCAGCTTTAGGGAACTGCCAGCCAACACGTCTCAGATGCAGCTACATGGTCCAGAGGGCACTTAGGGAAACGACAGGAAATGTTCAAGGCTGTAAGTTTGAGCATAAGGACTCCAGAAAAAAAAAAAAGAGAGAGAGAGAGAGAGACAGCTCTTGGGACTCCGGACACATGGAGAGCTCCTGAGAGGAGCCCCTGAGTTCTACCCAACGGCCTAGGGTGGTGTCTAAGAAACTGAACTCAAGTGGGGTGGTGCCCGGGGTCAGGCCAGTATCAGTCTGAGGCTGCAAGGGTCATCTATTCTGGACTGATGTCTTTAGGGCTGTGTTTGGAACCAGCCGAACAGCCCCAGGTCCGACCCTGAATGGGGGAGTGTGGACCAGGGAAGTCCTAGCTCTACCCAGTGGAGTTAAGAACAAGACAGAGACATCTTGTCATTTCAGGAGGGCTGTAAGTCAGTACTGGAGACTACGGTTTATTCAAGCATCCTCTTAAATAGCATTCCAAAAGGAGTGTGTGTGGGGGGGGATTACTGGCAGAAGACATCTATTATCATGTATATAGGGCTGACTAGGAAACACTTCCTTTAACCTAGAGATGGTCCTAGGATGTACGTACACTAGCCCTCAGTCTTTCTGTAAATGGCTCACCAGTCTTCAGACACATCCTACTAATCCCCAGGCATGTCCCACTAGCCCCCATGGGGGCCTAGGTCTATTGTTACACAAGCTAGAAGCCATTCTCCACTGTGGCCAGGCCATCCGGGAGGTAATGAGCCGGCATCTAAAAGACAATAGGAGATTCGCGCTCCTGGAATTGAGCTGAGCTATGTCTGAAATATCATATGGGGGGTGCCCTACAGGGTGGCTCACACCTGTGACCCCCCAGCACTAAAAAGGAGGTCTAGGCAGGAGGAGAAGAAGTTCAAGGTCATTGTTGATTATATAGTAAGCTTGAGGCCAGCCTGGGCCACACAGGACAATTTCCCAAAACAATATCAATAATAATAAACCAAAATGAATCGGGGCATGGTGGCTCGTGCCTGTGATCCTGTCATTTGGGAAATACAACCAGAAAGCTGCGGTGCTGTCACTGTGGTGACCCCAGTCTCTTCAAATTGGCCCAGAGTAGATTTTTATTGTCATCACCGTACAAACAAAACCCAATTAGCCCAAACTGTATTGAGGCAATTAGTCACCCACCAGGTAAACAATCCTTCAATGACAGTCTCAGGGGACATCCGGAAAGCACACCAGGTGGACATCTGGGCTGTAGTTACCGGAGCAGCATGGGGATGGGTGTGACAGCCTCACTTGTTGGAAACGCCTGCGTCAACAAAAGCATGAGGCTACTCGATTATACACTTCCTCGAAACAGAGCCACCTGAGAGCTAGAAGACAGGAAAGGAGTTGGCATGCGCAGGTAATGAAGTAGGTGGGGCTGAGAGCGGGGTCATCCTGAAGTGGGAGCCCCTCGAGAGCCATGTGTGGCACCCACAGCCAATCCCATCACTTTTGCGCTGGGGTTTCCCAGGGCCCTGGATGGGCCCTCCCTCACTGTGTGTTCCCATGGTCCGTCCGATTTTTGTAAAATTTGCAATATACAGTCTGACCACAGTTGGGCCTGCCGATTCATTTCCAACCCTCTTTTGCCAAGCTTTCCCTTGTAAGGACTGACATTTGGGCTTTCAGGCGAAGGACAACTGAAGAGGGCTTGTGTGGTTTACATTCACGAAGGCATCTGGCCCACGTATGTTCCAGTTATTGCCAGCTGACTCCATGGAGGAGTGGCTTTCCCAGAATACCTCTGCCTGCTGATAAATCACCTGACTCTAGAGGCTAAACTGCAAAGTCAGAGGACCTGTAGGGATATGAGACAACATAAATTTGTGGGTAAATAAATCCTTCCGGTCTCGTCACTGT